ATTTCCTCCCCTTTCCCGTCATTTAAAAACTTCAATCATTACCTTATGACAAATAAACCTCAACTACCATACACATCCATCTGTAAACCACTTGTAGCAATATTCAAACACCAAGAAATTATTAATTTAATGAAAGGTTTCCTACCAATTACAGCTTAAAATAAATTCCTTTATGGAGCATTTTAAAAACTTAGCTAATATTGTCCATCAATAAATAAATAAATTAAATTCTTGGTGTACTTGGATATGCTGAAATTAACAATGTATATAGATTTTGGATATTGGACCATAATAGGTATAACTCAAATTTCATTTTTTTCAGTTCTTTAACCACATTCATTCTGTATCAGAAACATATGCTGTGTCAAATATTTAATCACAATCCAAATTCAGAGCTGTATCAAGCTTGAATGTAGGTTCCATACTTGCCCCAACTGTTCAGGATTCAACCTCTGCAGTCGTATCAAGCTGCGCCCCGCGTAGCATTTTATTTTCTTATGTGCTGATTTTTTAAAAGTGTTACAGCCAGAAATCTACTTTTAATTGTAGCCAACAAAAGACAAAAATCAATGATAGATTTAACAAGATTAATTATACAAATTGAAATGTCAACTTAACTGTTAAAATATCTGAATGTCTGATCCTAGTCTTTTCTTTATCCGGAATTCTCATAACTGCTGCAGATTCCAAATGGAATATTATGTCCACTAAGTTCACAAACTAGTGTGATGTTGTTAGTAAATAAAAGTGTCAATCCAACAACTCCTGAGATCTTCTAAGAATACAAGTATATTAATGTCTGACAAGTCTAATTTCAGTGTCTGTATATAAAGTTGTCACGGAAATTTCTAGAACTCTGTAGAAGGGAAACTTCTAGTACACTTAAAAGGAAAATTTCTAGAACACTGTAGAAGTTTAAATTACTCATTGTAGATTATGATCATTCTTGAATCATTATGTAAGTCAAATAGAAAGTTCTAATCATTCCATCAGTATCTATGATTGTTCCAGTGACTTCTAAACATTATTTTGTAAACAACTATAAATAGTAAACAACCCAATTATGTAAACACCTCATATGGCAACACAAAACAAATGAGACCAAGGCAAATAATTATAATAATTACAATCTCATAATAATAGCTGACAAATCGATGGACTTTTTTTAACCTTAACCTAATTTGTACAAATATTTTGTAATGGAGTGTATGCAGTAATCTCCTAAAATGGCTCAATAATTTTGAATATTCAAAAAAAATTTCCAAACTTTCATATTTTTTTAAACAAGTGTAATTAAATGATATAAGTTTATTTTGTTATATTTGTAAGGATTTTGAAGATATATGAAAATAAACTAAAATAATAATGACATATTTTTTAAAGTTTTTTGTGTTGAAATGAAGGTATTTTTTGTATGCAAAAACAATCAAAATGAAGAAATAAACTATCAACACCATTGCTAAAAAAGAAAAAGACAAACAGACAAACAACAGTACAGAAAACCAAAGACTGAGCAACCAATTGTCCTGTCTGCCTTTAACATTGACATGCCACTATTTATGTATAAGATAAGTGAGTTGAAATTATATATATATTGAAGAGAAACTAATCAATGGTTTATTGAGGCTTATTGAATTCTATTAATTGGATGAATTAATAGAATGAATTGAAACAAGTTGATTGAATTCAAAGAATACTCAGTGTATACTAATTAGAACCAGTCTAAAAATAATTAGGTGAAAGTATTAACATTAGGATAGATGATATTGATAAAGAAAATGTTCAAACAGCCTCAATTTTAGCTATAACAATAGACCAATGTTTATTGTTTTATCAAAGAAATTAGGTGTAGTTAGACATGGAAGAAATTAGACCTTCTATGTCTAACAAAGTGTTATTTAAGTGAATAATTGTGTTATTGTTCCACATTTCAGTTCCACATTTCAATTACTACATTAAATTGTGAAACAGACATATATGCTGATGACACCACTCTTCATAAATCAGGGAAAAACATAGAAAATATACATGATGATGTTCAAGAAGATTTATACAGGGTTGAAGAGTGGTGCAAAATGAATAACATGTTCATTAATGCAAATAAAACAAAATGTTTGGTTACTGGAACAAAGCAGAAACTATCAATTCAGACTTATCAACCAATTTGTGTATGGAAATTTGTACATTTAAGTGTGTAATTGTAGTCCTTATTTTATATGTATGTAATATAATAAAGGGGCATGTAAACTAGTCTATGTGCCAATATGTGTTAACCCTATTTAAATAAAAATTATTATTATGATTTTATTTATTTTCTCCCAATAGTAGCCAGTAATGTAACTACATGAACTTTATTTTATTGTTCCTCAGAATGAAGAATAATGTTTAAATACTCAAGTAAATCTTGATATTAAATATAGAATATGTCATTTGAATTTCTTGAGAAAATGGTAAGAATATGAATGAAAAGTGATGAAATAAAAGTATATCCCTTTAATCTTAACTTAAATAAAACATAGAGATGCCCCAGTCATAGTCTTGTTTATAGTACAGTAAACATTAAATTCAGTAAACAGTGATGTTATATTACAACTTAAAATAGTTATGTTTGAAAGACACATTTCAGAGGCCCCTCATGGGGGTGTCCAAGTTATCAAAATTTTTTGCCAATATAATCACATAATCATTAATTATTTTTTTAAACAAGATAATCAAATAATCAAAAATACAGTCCTAGATTATCAAATAATCATGAAATATTTAGTCTGGTAATCAAATAATCACTATAAAAACGGCCAAGTAATCACATAATCAAAAACCCCAAGAGGAGGCTCATTTGATGCAACCACTCAAGTTATGATTTATTCTATTTAGGTCATAACTATGGATTCATTATTATTTTTGGGATACCAGATTTGGTGGGAATACGGAACCATGAATTTAAAAATGTTCACTGAAGCATAAATTTTCTTTAGGCTTGTATACAAATTTTACAAAACCAGGAAATCAAATGTCCACAAATATACAACTGTTCCTCAATCCCTGAAAATTGGTACCCACAAAAATTAAATGAATCCACAGTATGTAAGGTAATTCATTGTTCTTGTTCCTTTCATACTTTATAAGTAAAGTCTTGCAAAGATAACAGGAGGTAAGAAAAAAAAGTGAATGTTTTTGATGCAAATAAAATGGTAACTGTCATATCATATCCAGGTACAATTGTTCTTGGTTAATGATTGCACAATAAAACAAAATGCAAATTCTATTTATCATATGAAAAGTATTCATCAAGGTAACTTCTGGATTTTTTCATCACTGGGACATTAAAAAGACCAAGCTCAAATTACTGGTATGTTGGGGAAGGCCTGATTTTTTCCAGTTACATATATTTTTATAAACACCCTCCATAATATTAAAGTTCAGACTTTAAAACTGTATTTAAAGTAAGGTGGACAAATGATGTACCGGTACTCACATGCACAATTTTATCAAACAAATGTCACATTTCAACATCCTGTTATTATTGAAAAAATTTTAAGACATCAAAATTTGGATAATTAGAAAACTTTTAGCATAATGTATAAACAATCTGCATACTACAAAATTTCCAGCTTGACAACTGAAGGAGGAGTTAGCCAGAAGAATCATGTACCCCTCATGCATTATTTCCCTAAAAATTGACTTGAGTTCATCGTCCTGTCATTTGTGGAAAATTTGACAATCATCCAAATCCTGATAATATGCACAATCTTAAAATATGTACTGAAACCTAAAGAAGGTGGACGAACTATAAACCTTGCATGCATAATCTCACGAAGAATGTCCAAGTTAAACACACTGTCATTTGTGGAAAATGTGACAAAATCAAATTCCTGAAAATATTGCTAATCGTAGAATATGTACTAACACCATGATTATATAAAAGTTCTAAAATGAAACTGTATGAAGAGATAGGTGGACATATGTGGGATGATCTCCGACTTTTCACCATAAAGGCATAGAAAAGTTGATTTTTTAATGTAACTTATATCTATCAGTTATTTGTGTCATTGGGTTGCTATCTCATTAATGTATACCTCACATCTTCTTTTATCCATAAGTATAAACTGTTGTCCAAGGGATATCAAACAGTCAAAATCATGACTGAAAAGTGCAGGACCAAATAATCTCTGTGGAAATGAGATATGCCAATGCTAATACAACTGCACAAATCAAATATCATTGACTTATCATAAGCGTTTCTCTTTAAACTTATCTTCTCACAAACTTTAACATATAAACTTTCTCACAAAATTTAACATATAAACTATGCAAAAACTATGCAATAAACCATGATTGGGTGGGAGGGGCCTTGTAATCTCCATGAAATAAGATGTGCTATTGTAATTACAAATCTATACCAATTATCTTTGACTCACTATTAGTGGTTCATCTTGAACTGACCTAATTATCAACTTTTCCATGTAAACTAAGCACAAGTTTCTATGTCAGTCAACAATGACTAAGGAGGCGTGAAAAATATTCTCTATGAAAATGAGATGTGCCGATGTTGATAAAACTGCATATCAAATATCATTGCCTTACCATTAGTGGTTCCACTTAAACTAACCTTATTACAAACGGTTTTCCCGTTTGAATGGTTTTACACTAGTAATTTTTGTGTCCCTTTATAGCTTGCTGTTCAGTGTGAGCCAAGGCTCCGTGTTGAAGACTGTACTTTGACCTATAATGGTTTACTTTTATAAATTTTGACTTGGATGGAGAGTTGTCTCATTGGCACTCATACCACATCTTCTTATATCTATTCAACAAATTGTTGACGCCGCCGCCTCCAAAAACAGCACAACTAAGTCTCTCCGATGCCATATTGTCGAGGAAAGAAAATAAAATGGGAGTATCAAGCAAATTGCCATCTCAGTGTGATGAAACTGATTTTATCTGCAGAAAGTGTTTGCTGTAATTAACAAAATAATTTGAGTTCATTTGGATTCACATTGCCATATGTTCAATTTGTTTATTTGTAATTTAGAATAAACATAAAAGTCATTAGAAAGATTAAACTTTTATACAAATCTATATAAAAAATATAGCAAGTTAATTGAAAGCCCTTTTACATAGCACTGGTTAAATGAGGTATTGTTATGGCACATATAACATTCTGTACACATCAGTTGGTACTTGGAATCTTCTTCAATTTCTTACTTCCGACAGCTGCAATGGAAAAAAAAGAAGATCTAAAGCATGAACTTTGAATATCAAGAATTTTGATTCTGACTGATTAAGAACACTTCAGATAAAGGTATTATTTATGTGTATTTTTACTGTTAATTTACAGTGTTAAAAACTATAGATGAAAAAGAAAGTCTAATACATGTTATCTAACCGGAAAGATATAATTCAAAAATTTGCGAACAAAACAAAGTTTTGTAAAATATAATAAATTTCCACTGGTCAATAATCAGGCATTGGTAGGTAAAATATCTGGGTATTTCAGCCACCAAATAGAAGCTACTATCAATAAATGTTGACTAATCTTTAACATGTACCATACACATCAGTAGGTATTGACTGCAATATACAATTTGAATAAGAATATTAGACTTCAGTACTCTTCCCTGGTTTAAGAAGGTATTAAGCACCAATTCAAGGTTTGTTTAACCTTTCATATAGCAGATTTAAACACCTACCCCATGTATCATTAGGTATTGAATATAACTACAAAGTCTGACTAACCTTTTACAGAGCACACTTTAATATGTTCCCTTACTTTCATTAGGTATTACTATTTAGAGTTTTGATTAAGCTTTTTAAAAATCCACCCCTAGCTTGGGTAAGTGTTAATTATAAATTTTGACAGTTAAATCTTAAATATTTAAAATGCTCGGCAAACCTCATGTTTTTGTCTTGAGTGGATAAATATAGTATCACACTTGATGCAGTGGTAGAATCTATATATATCTATCCCTAGCTTGGTTAGAGTTAATTACAAGGTTTGACTAACCTTTTACATGAGCATCTAAAGTAAATGTATCTATCCCTAGCTTTGTAAGAGTTAATTACAAAGTTTGAATAACATGACAACCTAAAGTATATGTATCTATCTCTAGCTTGGTAAGAGTCAATTACAAGGTTTGACTAACCTTTAACATGACAGACTTCAGCATCTACCCCTAACTTCAGTAGGTAATCTAACCACATAATTTGTTTATGTGACAGCTTATCACCTGGACCTTTAACTTCACATATCTGAAAACAAAGTTTTTTTTGGGTGAACTTCTGCTTATAGAAACATTAAACTTCTCAATTTTTTTCTTTTCAAAATGAACAATTTTTTTTTTTAAGATTTTGAAATCTTCTTAAAATTAACTGGTATTTTCCTGTTTTCAAGATTCCCTTTATTCTAATATATGTGCATGGTATTTGGTAAAATGAACTATGTACATGTATTTAATGAGTTTAAGCGATTTGAGTTTTTGTTGTGTTATGTTATGCTACATCAAGAAAAATTGCATTGAAAAATCTATGAGTGTGTAAGGATATAATTTGTGAGTAATTTTCAGTATATATTTGCATTCATGGACATAAAGGGTCAAAATATTGGGCATATTGAAAACAATTACTGTACCTTGAAAACTTTTGTTTCTGTATTCCATAAAGTTAGATCAGGAAAACCAGATCTTGTGTGACGAGGATCCTTGGCATATCTTCCCAGAATTCCAGACAATGTTTTACCACCAATACATTCAATCAAACCCTATCAATATACAACTGTCACTTTAAGACCATATCAATATACAACGGTCACTTTAAGACCATATCAATATACAACTGTCACTTTAAGACCATATCAATATACAACTGTCACTTTAAGACCATATCAATATACAACTGTCACTTTAAGACCCTATCAATATACAACTGTCACTTTAAGACCATGTGAAATCATCCAGTTTTAGTATACTAATTTTTTATATAAACGAGAAAGAAAAAATATATTTATGGTGTTAATCAGGCAATACTTGTTTAACCTATATCAACTACCTAATGTGAAATATAATCTGACTGTGAAGTTACCTTCATACTAACACTATGTTACCAACTATTACTACAGCAGAAACAAAAGGATCTGTTCCACGATTGCCATTAAAAACAATTGTGTTATCTATCATGTACTGCAGATTTATGTCTACTGTTCTGAGGGCCATTGCAATGCAATGGACTTTGCAATCCTATACAGCAAATTTTGATCTGTGTACCTATTGCATCTGCAACACAGATTGTCAGTAATAGGGTGTGACAATGGTTATCATCAAATGTTCCTCTATTTCATTATATTTTCATCCTCTGGTCATGGTCAAGTGATGCTAGCTCATATTTTTGTCCATGCAATACATATATCTTAATAATGCTTGACATTATATTGAATTTAAGAATATTTATCTGGAGACTATGGAAAATACAAAAAAATTTGAAAGCAAATCCCTTTTTTAAAACTGACATTTTGAAAAAATTGAAGATTTATATATTCTTTAGGAAGTTGATGCAATAATATTTTTAAGTAGTTATTTTCAAATGATGAATGTAATTAAAATATTTTAAAATCATTCTAACTACTGTAAATTCAGAAATTATTGCGTGCATTTATTATTGCGATTTTGTCATTTTAGACTAAAATGCGATTTTAATTTTTGCGATATTGAGGAAAATCCTGTTTAATTCATATAAAAAATTTCAAAATGCGAGTTTAAATTATTGCGATTATAACCCTGTCGCATTTTTCGCAATAATAAAAACATCGCAATAATTTCTGAATTTACAGTATTAGCATTTATAGGTTAATTAAAGTTTAATGCATAGAGATAAATTACCCAAATGGGTCTCTGATTTCATAAATGTGAATAAAACTTCAGAGTACAAATATCCGCCATGTTTGGAGCAACAATATCTTCTTATTAAGTCAAATGGTAAAAACACACATGTCCTTTGCCTATAATGCTTACACACCTGTCAATAATGTATAATTATTCCTCCACATATCTAGAGTAAAATACTTACCTGTACATGCTGTAAATTATTAAATCTTTCCCAGTTCAGACCAGCACATAATGTACCTTCATGTTCTTCCCAAGTCTTTGCTACTATATCATTTAACTCCTGTGTCAAAATTATACATTCATTAAATATAAAAACCATGAAATTCCAAACAAAACCATAAAACAAGACAGAAAAAATCATAAAGAGACATTGACTACAACTGATAATATTCCTGACCTGGAACTTTCATGTGATACCAGGGGTTGTTCTGGCTCCAAAATAGATGAAAAAAATCATTATAAATATTTCTCAAAACCAGAAGTTTCTCATTTATCAAAAGTGGTTATTTGGACAATATGTGCAGAATTGTATAATTTCCTGTACATTATAAAGGAAAACTTTTACTCAAATGCTGATATATATATAGTCATGCATTCTTAAGAAATAAACCTACATATAAAATTTACTCAGTTCTTTAAGGGGCATTAGCTGTCAAATTTATGTTCACGGATCTGACTCAAATTTTCATATTTGATTTATAACATACTAAAACGAATATCCAAATTACAAATTCTAAAATAATCAATTAACAATGCAAGGACTCATTAATATGTATCAGCAATTCATGTGTATGTTTTTCTAGACGTCATCTAATCATCGAGGTGACCTCCAAAGACTGCAGACGGTCATATAACCCGATATAAACATAAATATAAATATAAATTAGCGTTGTCAAATCGAACAGTTTTGACTAACCGGTTACTCAGATAATCTTTCAACCAATTAACCGGTTAACCAGTAGTAAGTTGATGTTTAAAGACCTTATCTATCTGTTTATAGTACCCTTCAAATGTACGTTTTTATGATACAACAAATTGAAGTTTATCCTTGTGCATTATAAGGCTAGGCTTTGAGCATTCCTGGTGAAGTTTTACTTTTAATAATCCAATTCTACCATATCTACTCTGAAGTTTGTAATAACTTCAGATTGAGAAGATGAAAATATTCTTGATCTCGTCTAATTGACATTGTCTGAAACCGTTGATTGTTTTATTTTCTCTGGTTACTCAGTAAATAATGTGGAGTATTTCAATTTGAGATGATTAAGTGTGTTACTCGTACCACCAAATATACATTGGAGGTGGCATATTTACATGTAGGTCTACGCAATATTAAATCAAAAATGAAATAATGAAGTAAATTGTAAAATGTAATCAACTTTTCAAAATACATGCATGCTAATTATGTTTATCTAGATCTTGCCCAGAGCTGATTGACAAATTGTCTTTGTGCTAATTAATTTTGTAAGATTAGAATGTTTTCAAGGTTAAAAATTGAAATCAATATACTGGACAATTGATCTGTCAAATTAATTACCACGATTTGATCATTTTTAAAATTCTATAAAATTTATTATTTCAATACACATTTATATCAAATCTATTAAAATTGAAAAAAGGTCTGGTTAACCGGTTAGCAATTTTGGTATTTGATATTCGGTTAATTGTTGACAACACTAATATAAATAGATAGCAACCACATGCAATTTTTCTAGATCTGTTTGATTTCATATTGTAGGTTAAAAAGTAAGTTTATCATCGTTTTTACCTGTATAAGAATGACTTTTTTTGTGGATCGAATCAGTCAACCTAATGGTTTACCCTTGATTCACTTTCAATGTTGACATTCTTTTCCTTTAAATAGCTGAATACATGCGTAACCCATCTCCAGCTAAGGGGTTAATTTGAAGATCACATCAATACGGATTCAATGAGGTCGAATTATTCACTTACAAGTAAATAATTCATCAGCAATGTTTCTCAGCTTATTTTCACAAAATTGAACCAAACTGGCAGCTAAAAGCGAATTATTATTTCACTATTTAACTTTCATTAATGATTGAACAAAAAACTAGAGGCTCTCAAGAGCCTGTGTCGCTCACCTGTATTTACTGATGGTTTGGAAATCATGTAAAATAAGGTTAAAATCATAATTAATAGTATTAGATATTAGATATTATAATGATATCTAAGATAATAACAAAAAACTGCAAAATTTCTGTAAAATTACTAACTCAGGGGCAGCAACCCAACAACGGGTTGTTGGATTTGTCTGAAAATTTCAGGGCAGATAAATCTAAATCTGATGAACATTTTTGCCACCTGTCAGATTTGCTCTAAATGCTTTAGTTTCAGAGATATAAACCCAAAACTGCATTTTACCCCTATGTTCTATTTTTAACCAAGTTGGCCATGATGGTTGGAAGGCGGGGTCATCGGACAAATTTTTTAAACTAGATACCCTAATAATGATTATGGCCAAGTATGGTTAAATTTGTCTCAGTAGTTTCAGAGAAGAAGATTTTTGTAAAAGATTACAAAAATTTACGAAAAATTGTTAAAAATTGACTATTAAGGGCAATAACTCCTAAAGGGGTCGACTGACAATTTTGGTCATGACAACTTATTTGTAGATCTTACTTTGCTGAACATTATTGCTGTTTACAGTTTATCTCTATCTATAATAATATTCAAGATAATAACCAAAAACTGCAAAATTTCCTTAAAATTACCAATTCAGGGGCAGCAACCCAACAACAGGTTGTCAGATTTGTCTGAAAATTTCATGGCAGATAGATCTTGACCTGATTATCAGTTTTACCAAAGTCAGATTTACTCTTAATGCTTTGGTTTCAGAGATATAAGCCAAAATCTACATTTTACCCCTATGTTCTATTTTTAGCCATTGCGGCCATCTTGGTTGGTTGGCGTGGTCATCGGACACATTTTTTAAACTAGATACCCTAATGATGATTGTGGCCAAGTTTGGTTAAATTTGGCCTAGTGTTTTCAGAGGAGAAGATTTTTGGAAAAAGCTAACGACACCGGACGACGGACGCCAAGTGATGAGAAAAGCTCACTTGGCCCTTTGGGCCAGGTGAGCTAAAAATGGTATCTTAATTTTTATATCTTGTAGCTAATGCCCCTTTAAATAAAAGAAAATTGTGAAATACATTCTTAGGTTTCTGAACTACAGGCTCTCAAGAGCCTGTGTCGCTCACCTGTATTTACTGATGCTTTGGAAATCATGTAAAATAAGGTTAAAATCATAATTAATAGTATTAGATATTAGATATTATAATGATATCTAAGATAATAACAAAAAACTGCAAAATTTTTGTAAAATTACTAACTCAGGGGCAGCAACCCAACAACGGGTCGTCGGATTTGTCTGAAAATTTCAGGGCAGATAAATCTAAATCTGATGAACATTTTTGCCACCTGTCAGATTTGCTCTAAATGCTTTAGTTTCAGAGATATAAACCAAAAACTGCATTTTACCCCTATGTTCTATTTTTAGCCATTGCGGCCATCTTGGTTGGTTGGCGGGGTCATCGGACAAATTTTTTAAACAAGATACCCTAATAATGATTATGGCCAAGTATGGTTAAATTTGTATCAGCAGTTTCAGAGAAGAAGATTTTTGTAAAAGATTACAAAAATTTACGAAAAATTGTTAAAAATTGATTATTAAGGGCAATAACTCCTAAAGGGGTCGACTGACAATTTTGGTCATGACAACTTATTTGTAGATCTTACTTTGCTGAACATTATTGCTGTTTACAGTTTATCTCTATCTATAATAATATTCAAGATAATAACCAAAAACTGCAAAATTTCCTTAAAATTACCAATTCAGGGGCAGCAACCCAACAACAGGTTGTCAGATTTGTCTGAAAATTTCAGGGCAGATAGATCTTGACCTGATAATCAGTTTTACCCAATGTCAGATTTCCTCTAAATGCTTTGGTTTTAAGAGATATAAGCCAAAATCTACATTTTACCCCTATGTTCTATTTTTAGCCATGGCGGCCATCTTGGTTGGTTGGCGGGGTCATCGGACACATTTTTTAAACTAGATACCCTAATGATGATTGTTTGGTTAAATTTGGCCCAGTGGTTTCAGAGGAGAAGATTTTTGTAAAAAGCTAACGACGACGGACGACAAAGACGACGCCAACGGACGACGGACGACGGACGCCAAGTGATGAGAAAAGCTCACTTGACCCTTTGGGTCAGGTGAGCTAAAAATGGACTTAAAACACAAAACTTTACAAAAACCTGACATACACATGTACATTCATGGCAGGCATAAAAAATACTTAAGTAAAAGATATTACACTCATATACAGAAAATATTCTTGTTCAACAAAAATAAATTCCATATTATAGAAAAGAGTGAACAAATACATGATAAATCTTAAATCTAAATTGTTTCCATACCTCTTCAGAACTCTTTTGTATCAAATCAAGACGATCATCTATATGCCTCTGTCTGTTGAAGTAGAACTCTTCTCTATGAAGATCTAATGGGTGTGTCTGGTAAGGACTGTGGAATACATCTGGCACATCCATGAACATAATATCCCAGAAAAAAAGACCAAACAAAATAGATATCACAGAACCTTCAGCATGTATACCTACAAATATCAAAACAAAATAGATATCATAGAACCTTCAGCATGTATACCTACATATATCAAAACAAAATAGATATCATAGAACCTTCAGCATGTATACCTACATATATCAAAACAAAATAGATATCATAGAACCTTCAGCATGTATACCTACATATATCAAAACAAAATAGATATCATAGGGCCCTCAGTATGCATACCTACAAATATCATAGCAAAATAGATATCACAGAACCTTCAACATGTATACCTACAAATATCAAAACAAAATAGATATCACAGAACCTTCAGACTTTACACCTACAAATAACATAACAAAATAGATATCACAGAACCTTCAACATGTATACCTAGAAATATCATAACAAAATAGATATCTCAGAACCTTCAGCCTTTAAACCTACAAATATCATAACAAAATAGATATCACAAAATCTACAGCATGTATACCTAGAAATATCAAAACAAAATAGATATCACAGAACTTTCAGACTTTACACCTAAAAATATGAAAACAAAACCTTCAGCATGTACACCTACAAATATCATAACAAAATAGATCTCATAGAACCTTCAGCATGTACACCTACAAATATCAAAACAAAGAGATATCAGAGAATCTTCAGCATGTATACCTACAATTATCATAACAAAATAGATATCACAAATCCCACAGCATGTATACCTAGAAATATATAAATAAAGGTATTAAAGAACCTTTAGCATGTTAGAAATATCAAAAAGAACAGATATCCTAGAATCCTCAGTATGCATACCTAAAAATATCAAAAGAAAATAAATATCATACAATCCTAAGCATGTACACTTATAAATATCAAAACAAAATACATACCATATAACCTTCAAGTTTTCATACAAATGCAATGGAGATACAATGCATTTGTTTGTACTTTTTCGAGTAGTGAATTTAATAGAAATACAAAGCCCCTTTTATATGCAAATTTATCCATTACTCTCACATATGTCACTTAATATCTTGACTCTCAAAGCTGATCTGATTTTGTAGTAAGCATCTGAAACCCTTCTTGCAACTTTACAAATGAAGAATAGTAAATAAGTACAATTTTTAATGCAGTGTTTTTAGATTTACAATTTTATGTTATTTTGGGTTTTTTTTCATGTACAGTAAAAATTTGTACACCAAAAATGACTGGTTTTAAATAGGTACATACCATCAGGAAACCCATTGTGCTTGTAGTGATCTAGGACTACTTCTTCCACACAACAGAATGCTATATCATCAGTATCTGTCTGACTGTTACCCTGACTGTATTGTATCATAAACTTATACTTCTGTCCTTCAATATTGTCTGATAATGTTTGGCCCTCTATTGTTGCCTAAATATAGATTAAGATCTTTATCTTAATCATCAAAATAGTAATTGATTACTTACTTTCTATGTAAATGATTTACATAAACTTTAGGTGGTTAAAAAGTTGAATATTAATTATTTCAAAATATTTGTTTACAGACACTGGTGTTATTTACACTTACTAATGAACTACAGCTAGAATACTATTTCTAATCAATACATTGATAAGCGATCTTTATACATATGATTAATGACTGGATGTTGAAAGGTAAACTTAATAAAAAAAAATGAAAATATTGGATATTGGTAAAATGATTGTTTTTTATAATTCATTTTTATTATCTGTTTTTTGTTTAATTTTAATAAATTAAACTTACAACTGGTAGTTCCAACAATTTTTCATGATGGAAATCTTTCATTCTTGATTTAAATTTGGATTTAGCAGTAGTACAAATCTTCTCTGCTCTTTGGTACAATGCCAGTCTTCTTCCAGTCTTACATAACATATCATTTAATCCATCCTGGACTGCTTGCAGTGCCTTCAATAAAAAAAAAATCAATCTTCATATTAATTATAATTCAGAAATATACTTTTAAAAATGTTCAACGAAGTATAAATTTTCTATAGGATGATATGTTGACTTTGCAAAACGACATAATAATAAAATTGCCATGGAAATACAATTTTTTTTTCAAACCACAAAAAAATTAAAAAACAACGAAAATAGTAGCAATTGAAGGATTGCTTGGGACAAGTAAAATTCATTCTCGGAATGTAAAAGCTGCAGCATACTTGCCCGATTGGTAAGTAAAAAATATAAGTTAATCAAAGTGTTTGTGAGCACTGAAGGGTAAAGAATGCTTTCATTTTGCAATCTTGTGAATTTTTATATAAAACATTGAATTGAATTTTGCTAGGCAAATTAAAAATTTAAGTTGGAGTAATCTTCTTTTGTTCATAATTGTACATTTGTAGTTGAACCTATTTTTATAACAGATTCATACGCCATGCATTACTTATGTAATTTGAAATGAAAATAAATGGGGAATGTGTCCATGGGACACAGACCATGCCCCCACTTGCATATTACGTTATAAATGGAAATTACTCAAGAACGGTAAAAGTGACACTACCCAAATTTGTACTTGATCTGAGTTTTGTGGTAATAAGCATTGTGTATAAGTTTCATAACATTTGGTTGAGGCAAACTTAAGTCGGAGAACAAAAACTAAAAATTCGGTAATTTTTATTTCATTTGTAAAGGGACATAACTCTAGAACAGTAAACGTGAGGCCACCAAAATTCAAACTTGATCTGTGTTTTGTGGTAATAAGCATTGTTTATAAGTTTCATATAATTTGGTTGAGGCAAACTAAAGTTAGAGAACAGAAACCAATTTTGGGACGTACATAGACGGATGAACAGACGGGCAAGGGTAAAACTTAATGCCCCCTCCGCTACGGCCGGGGCATAAAAATGTTAGTTTAAACATATTTTATTGTCCAAAAACATTGACAATAGGATTAGACACAAGTTTTGCAACTTAGAACGTCTTCTCCATTACATACAAATAATAAATAACCGAACAAAATAAAATACATAATAATAACATCATAAACAATATTAATATGGAGACATGAAATTAACAAGAATTTAAACGACATGGCTCATCGATTTCTAAAAGTCGAGCTGACCGTAAATTTATTTATGATAGACCTAGTAGGTTGTTTTAGATTTGGAATAAATATTCACTCAAAAGGTAAGTTATTATTTTAAAGCAATTAAATTAAATTGTTGTTGTCAACTGATAGGATTTTATATATAAAATCAAATTGATGATTCATGTCTTTGGAAAAAATGAACAATTTCATTCGAAGTCAACAAAAGTAATTACATTATTATTGTTATATATTTAACCATAATGTCTATACACTATGAAAAGCGATTGGTGTCTTTGATATAATTCTGCACTTTTGTAAAAATTAGCGTGTTTATGTTAATATTAAACATATCATTACCGTACATTAAAGTTTCCAAGTCAGTAGGTATATTTTCTTTTCTAAGTTCCAAAAATAAGATATTCCTTTGAGCTGTATAATTTTTACATGAACGGAAATAATGTTGAGCATTTTCATATAAATAACCACATTGACACATTGCGTTAGGTTTAATATTTGCGTGATACAGATCCATGTTAAGGGCACTGCATTTGTTTCTTAATCTTGCATGCAAAACATTTAAATATCTATCGCCAATAGTGAAATATGTAGGGGGTGATTTGTTTTTATAATATTTCTGTTTAATTTTTAATTTAAACATATTTAAAGACAGTTCATTTCTAATGCTTAAATCGAGCGAATTCCACAGTTTAATACTAGATGGAATAAATGATTCTTGATAAAGGGACAGTCTGCTAGTGGTTTGGTATATATTTTGACTGTTTCGTAGATTGTAATTGTTTGTTTCTGCAACTGAAGGGGGTATTAAATCTAATAAGTATTCTGGAGCGTCCTCTTTCATAATTTTGTAAAATAAAGTTAATTTCTTAACCTCCCGTCTAATTTTTAACTTTTCCCATCCCGTCTCTAAATAAAGGGATTGAGTGCTAGCATAGCTTGTTAAACCAGTGACAATACGTGCTGCTTCCAGTTGTAATTTTTCTAATCTTTCAGAATTTAACTGTCCGCAATTATCCCAAACTTCAGAAGAATATTCTAGAACGGGCCTAATAAAAGTTAAATATATTTTTTCTAAATATTCCCTTTTTAGTCGGAATTTCAAACGTCTAAGAACATTTAATTTTTTTGATACCTTTTCTATTAAAGAATCAATATGCTTGGTCCACTTACAGTCACTGCTAAAAAATATACCTAAATGTTTGTGACTAGTAACTGTATCTACCTGAACTCCGCCAAAATCAAAAATCAAGTTATTTTTTGAATTTTTGTTACTAAACAACATGATATTAGTTTTATTGGGATTGAATTTAACTAGCCAATCATTTGCCCAGGAATTAATATTTTGTAGATCGATATTTATCATAGATTGAAGAGTAGTTTCATCTGGAGCGGTATGTCCAATAGATGTATCGTCTGCAAACATTCTACTTAATCCAATCATATCATCTGCAATGTCATTAATGAATATTAGAAATAAAAGAGGACCCAGTACCGAACCCTGTGGAACACCAGCTTTAAGATTACCTAATTCGGAAGTCGCCTCTTTTAATACTACCCTCTGAGTTCTATTTGTTAAGTAACTTTCAAGCCATATTAACAGATTGCCTTTTATACCATATCTTTCTAACTTGTGAAGTAGGCCCCTTATCCAAACTCGATCGAATGCCTTGCTTACATCAGCAAAAGTTAAACTTGTATAAAATTTATTGTCTAAAGCATACACGATAGAATGGTACATCTCAATTAGTTGATGAAAAGTAGAGCAGCCGGGTATGAAACCAGACTGAAATTTATACAAAAGTTTATTAGAAACTAAATGATTGAACATATGTTTATATATTATTTTTTCCAGTACCTTGCTCACGCAAGAAAGAAGTGATACCGGTCTATAATTAGACGGCATTGACTTATCTCCATTTTTAAATAAAGGAATTACATATGCCAATTTCCAATCTTTAGGAAATATATTTTGAGAGAGCGATTTATTAAAAAGAATACATAAGGGAAGTGCAATTTCATTTTTTACTGTTATAAGCATTCTATTACTGATTTTGTCTGGACCAACAGCTTTATTTGGATCTAAAGTAGAAATAATATCTTTAACGTCTTCTAAAGTTACAGTAATTTCTGGCAAAACGTTAATACCTCTATCATCGAAGTCAGGCAAATTTTTGTTTTCTTCATCTAGACTAGCTATTGAACAAAAATATCTATTTAGAATATCAACTTTTTCTTTTGCATCATAAGAAAATTCAAAATTATTACTTGGGTTTTGCATCGGTGGAATATCATTTGAAGATCTGTCTTCTTTTAATAAGGAGTTTATGATTTTCCAATATACTCTACTATTTGTTTGCTTGAGTTCATTTAAGTTTTCATTAATATTTTCGTAAAAGTTTTGTTTAATTTGTTTCTTCAAATTATTCACTCGATTCCTTTGGTTTTTAAATTTCTTTTCGTTTGTAGTGCTTTTATTTTTTGAAAATATTTTCCGAAACCTGTCTCGTTTTCTTATTTCTTTACGGAGATTTGAATTAAACCAGATTTTATCATTAGATCGAATAATAACTTCTTTTTTCGGAATGCAAAATTCAGTCACTTTTAAAAATTCGTGCGTAAATATATTGCAAGATTCATGGATGTTAATATCATTATCCAGTAATTTATTCCATTCGACCTCAGAAACCATCTGTTTCATTAAATTATAATCCCCCCTTTTATAGTCCCATATTGTACGTTTGAAACTCTTCGAGTTACTGAACCCGCTTCTGACTGTTATGTAAGTACCTTCATGATCACTTATGTCTCTATTGATAGGTATAATACCCGAGTCAATAAATTGAACGGAATCAGTTATTAATATTGGGTCTAATAAGGACAACGAACCAGTTCGTGAATCAAAATGAGTAGCGTCGTTAATTGTATTAAATAGACCATTTATACTTAGTATATCACTGATACAGTTAGGTAGGTTGAGAAGAAAATTTTTATTTAGATCACCCAAACAAATAATATGATTAGTTTCGTCTAATGCCCTTTTCAACATCATATCGTATAGCGACCAAAAATTGGACGGTGAAAAGCGCTCAGATCGATAAGTAATGTTTATCAATATCACGTGCAATTTTGTTTTCAACTCAAACCACATAATTTCTACACTATCATGCTCCAAATCCAGGCGCCGCTTTATTTTAATGTTACTTTTATAATACATAATAACTCCGCCTCCATCGGAGTTCCTGTCTTTCCTTATTGGTGTTTCAAATTCCGGGAGTGCTATTTTTTCGTTGGTAATAAAAGGGGCCAGATGAGTTTCTGAAAAAAATATGATATCGAATTCTTCTATAACATTTGAAATATAATCCAGTTTGTTTCTCAAACTGCGTATATTACAGTGGAAAATTGATATACTTTGGTCTGAAATGTCAACTGTATTCGCAGGGCCTGGATTTGATTCAACATCTCCTGCCAAAATCAACATATTTACATATATCAGACAAATAAACAAGAATGATAAAATGTTTTTCAGCATGGATAATTGGTTTTTAACTAAGCAACAAAGCCATAGTATAAATGAACAAAATACATCATATATATTGACATGTATTTTTATCGCTTTTCTTGTAAGTACTCCACTAATTTTGCCGTAAAATAGCCCTGTTGTTATTCTATGTGTGATTGCGTCACTACCCATTGTCAAAAATTGATCTGACACACATGTTTAAAAAGGGCTGTATAAAAACTAAACAAAGAAAAAATGACTTAATTGTTGACTTCGAATGGTAAGAATGAAAACATATGAACATATAAAACAAAAAACAGTGTATGTACAAGGAATACTTGCGTTCTGTAAATCGATGTATGTTTGAAAATATCAAAATTGGAAAAAAGGTTATAATAAGCTTTTTAACTATAGATCAAATCAATCTATAAATGAATATATATATTTATACATTTTTTGTACCTGTTGAAATTTGTATAGTAATTAAAATTCGAATATCTACATTAATTTTAATTTGACTAAGAAGGTCTAAAACTTTAAATTTGTGATCAGACACAACAAAATTTAGCGTTTAAAATTTTAAATTACTGAAGTTCCAACACAGCCCAGGTAATTCACTAAAGAACAAATCAAAATTTCCGGTTGAGCGATTTGAGATTAATAATAGAATTGATATGTCGAGAACACGCTCACTAGTATCTATTTTAAGACAAGTTTGTAAACAAGTATAGAGTTTGTAAACAAGGATACACGTGTAGCGGTAAACAGTTTAATAATCGTCGTCTTTATCGGAAATTTCACCTCCTAGATCTCTTATATCCTGGTTACACGAAATAACGATATAATCCGACTCTGGTGTTTCTTTAGCTATGATTTTACCATCATGAGTCCAAAAAGAATGTATTTTTTCGGTGAACCGTAGGACATTCAAATGTTTCAGGAGCCCATAGCGGTATTTTGTTAGGTTTTCTGAAATGAAAAGTTTATCTTCATTGTTTTTTAGTTTCTTTTTGTTTGAGAATACCAATTGACGAGTTCTATATGACAGGAAACGAACTATAACAGACATTTTACCGTTCTTGACCTTTCCTATTGGATGTGTTCTACCAAGATCCTTTAAATTAATATCAAGACCTAATTGCTCATTGCAGATCTGCAAAACTAGAAAATCAGTATTAATTGGTTTTATTATTCTACCATTGCCATTTGTTGGTATCTTGATGTTGTTGAAGCGAAGACTTGTTCTTCTTGAGTACTGCTCTTGCTCTTCAACCCTTTTTCCAAGATCAGTTACTTTGGTTTGCAACTTGTTGATCGTATCTTGTTGATCGTTAATGGTTGTGTTTTGTGATGTTAAGGCTTGTTTATTTTGTTCAATTGCTTCAATATAAGGTTGAATTTTGTCAGATACAATTTGCTCGACCATGGGTTTTATATCTAGAAGCACTCTTTCTAATACCATGGGAACTATTGCCTGGACGAACTGAGGGTTGTTTATTACTGACAGTACCACTTCTGATAGCTGAAGCACAGTCTCGCCCTGAGCGGATATAATTGTAGGTTGTGACATCTCGGAGACTTGTAAGGAGGAATTTGGAGATGGTGAATCTGGAATAGTTTTTGCTGATTTACCTACTTGTATTTGCGAAGGAGAAATATCAGATGGACTAAATGAGAGTTCCCTTTTCAAACCTGCTTTATTTGGAGTATCGTTCATATTTGTTTACATGTCCAGTCTGCGTGTCCTTGTGTCCTTGAATATTAATCACAGGTATATATTGGCACAAACTACTAAATTGTTACTAAATTGTTATCTCAAACATATATATTCACATATATTTACACTTGTAAACAGTTCTACAGCATGTACATATCTCAAAAATTAGATGTTTTACACCTTTTTTACATTTTTTTTCTCGTTCAAATTTTCATGTCACCATACCAAGGACCGGTAACCCAAAAAGCGTTTTCAAAAATGTTTGCTTGACAAGTATGGTAATTAATCCTATTGTAACTAAAATATCAAAGTATAACATATCATCAATAAATTGCATGACATTGACTGGATAGGATCTAAATAATGATCACTTAACTGCACTATTTTGTTAGAACTATCAAAGGTAGTGATAAACCCTGGAAGATATAGATATCAAGTCAGTACCAAGGCTTCTAAAACAGTCGTATTTGCCGGACAAATATTAGTTTACCGGACATTGTCCTACTAGGCCAAGCATGAAACGGACATCCTACGTGGGTTTGCCATTTTAACATTCATGCATTCAGAAAAATGAACCAATCTGACTTGACCTTTTGCCTTAAACAGCCACACTTTTCCGGTCATAAAAGTGACAGTAATCTATAAAGCTCTACTATAATCCCCTCTCATTACAATCAATGTTAACTAAGTGTCTATCAGGTGAGATTTACCTGTGATCACCAGTGTCAGGTAAAATATTTGTACTGGACATCAATCGATCTTTTCGGAAGATACTTTTTTTTATTAAAATTAAAAACATTCCTGGTTTAAATCTAACTACTTTTAAGCAAAACAAATTAAGACTATCGAAAAAAACATATTTAAAACGATAAGATCATAATTTTCAAGCAACAGGTAAACGATTTTGTACCGGACGTTGATCGGTCTATTTATTTAAAAACTTTTGTTTTTTTTTAATTTCAGCGGTTTGAACATAATTTGATGAAAATAAAAAAAGGTAGCAGTAAAGGTTGTAAACAAAAAATCATCAGAACCACGTTGTTGAACTAGTAAGCGTGTGCGCATGTGCACAGGTGTGAGGTTTAATTATGCATCCGATATTTTTTTAAATGCTAAAATCATCATTAAGCCTTAATACCTTAATCTAACATGTCTAACATTCATTTCGAGTATTTTCCTGAAGAAATAACGTGAAAAGAGCTACTTAAATTCAATCGTGCTTTGTAAACGTATACAGATTTTACATGTCCGTCTCTGGTTCATGTTTTACCATTGTCAAGTCAACATCCGGTATTAGAAAAATGTGTTTAGTAAAATCGAAAGCGAAGTTTTTGACAGCGTAATTTTCCACAAATAAAGAGTCTAAGACAGATATTAGTAAGCTGATGATGCACACTTCCAATGATGCACCGTCAATTGAACAGTTTACATCAGAACATCGAATCTATATCAAAAGTCAAGTTTAAATTAAAATCATTTATGTGTTAATCATTGTTCATTTGATGCCCAACTGATTAAAATGCTTGCCTTTTGTTACTAAGTCTACAGGGATTGAAATCAGGATAAGACAAGACAAAAAATGTCCGGCTGGCTCAAATATATGTTGGAAGCCCTGGTCAGTACCATAGGGTTTTGATTGCATTTCATGCAATCTTTACCCAAAAACGGGAAAAAAATCCTAATCGACCTTAATTTATTTCTCTTTCTACAATAAAACATCATATCAATCAGTCCTGATAATATTGACAAAGTAACTTATTTTAAGAAGAACGCATTAAAAAAGTTAATGTTTAACCCAGTAGAAGAATGTTTTGTTACTATTAAGAAGAACATAATTAAATCCTACATTTCAAAATATACATGTAACTGAACTGTGATATTCTTTATTATGGAAAAGAAAGAATATAACAAAATGTATATACCATATCTTGTTTTTTAAGATGAATGTCATAGTTCAATGCTAGTCTCTCCCACCAATGACCTCTATAATGTTGACAATAACAACCCTGTGATAGTAGTTTCTTCAGCAGATCTACAGCTGCTGGGTAATCTTTTCTGCGTTGTAAGATCTCTACTCCCTGGTTAAAGACCCTTGTGTAGACCCCACATGCAGTGTATGGTCGTAAAAACACAGGTAACTTTTTATCAAATCTATATAAAAAGTAAAATATCTTAATATCAAATGTTTTGTGAGTTCTATGAATAGAATTTAAAGAAAATATCAACTGCAAAGTTGAAAATTTTTTGTAATTTTTTCCCCCTTATTTCGCAATTATGATCAAATTAACGAAAAATCAGATTCAGAGACAAGAAAAACATGAAAATAAATCACTTCAGAGTTTTCAGTGGGAAAGAATGACATAAACTAGCCAAGAATCTGAAAAAAAATAAAAGCCAAAGCATCATTTGCATATTTATAATGAACAAATATACATAAACCATGGTTCTGGAAATTTTTTCACACAATTTCTGTCATTTTGAGATGATCGAAAGTTTGGGTCTTTTTTTCAAACTGTCGAAATTATTCACACTTGATTCATGGCATCAATGAACTTGTTTTGGCTGGTTTCATCGCATTTACTTCATGAAGTTTCTTATCGTGATTCCAAAACTTTCAATAACGATTTAAGGAATGCAAAAGTTTAAAATTAAAATTATTTTAATGACTCAAATGATAAATTTCTTAGGAGTAGCCAATACTTCTTTCAATTTTGAACACAAAATAAGAACAGGAAGTTTAAAGTTAATACTAAATTACAATTAATTCTGGAATTCATTTATGGGATTCGTTCTGTTTATCAAAAGACAAAAAAACATTGTATTTTTAATTTTGTTACCTGTAAAAGTGCTTGAATATGACTGACAATTATTTTACTTTAATTTAGTATAAATCATTTTGCATTTTATGATTAAGTGTCTAATCTGGTAAAGACAATTTCAAGCATGGGTATTACATAGTAAATAAAGCAAATGTTTGACTCGTGAAAAAATTTACTTTTTTTCAATGCACATTTACTAAAAGTTTTAATTTTTAAATCAGAATTGCCGATGGTCTTTATTGAAAAATTCTTAGATAAGAAGTAAGCTGTAATGGAATAGAATTTCTTTAAAATATTAGTTCTGAGCTTGATCACTACTATCAAGTGTGAAGAACACAGGTAAAAAGTGATTAGCGATCACAATATCTCCCGAGTCATTAATTTGGTTATTAGGTGGGCTTTCAGGATTATCATACTATACTGGAGTGGTAGTTTTATTATCATGACTTGGTATATAGGACATAAAGCAAGGTTTTCAAAGGATTTACAGATATAAAAAAGCTATATTTCACCTTGAATAGGTTTTACTCACTTTAAAATGTGCTTGTTTTTAGTTAAATTATCATACTGTCTAACAGCTTCTTCGTAAATAGCAAATGCATCTGCATATTTGTTCCTTTCTATTTTAGTGAGGATGCCAAATTCAAGTAGAGAAGCTTCACAAAATCTGCAAACAAAAATGTAAATTCAAACCATAAATGATTGTTTTATATATTTATAAAGGAGACTTGTCACCATAACATCTAGTTTATCCCATTAATTATCTTGTAAAGTTTCTGAGTCAGGAATATAAAAGTCATTAGCCACCATTGAAGTTCTGGTTTTCCACTTTATTTGAACTTTTCAATTAGAGAGCTTTACTCTGAAGTTTAGAACATCATATTTTCCTCTTATCAATTAGAACTAGGGGTCACGAATAATTTTTTTTTCAAGACGAAAAAACATCAATGCGGATGTTTTGAGCATACTCCACAAACTTTAATAATGCTCCAGACCTAGCAGATTTAATGAATCGTCATTTTCTACATAAAGAAATTCCTATACCAAGTCAGGAAAATGTTTTCCATTCGTTTGATGTGATCGAGCTTTTGATTTTGCCATTTGACAAAGGACTTTTGGTTTTGAATTTTCCTTGGAGTTTGGTATTTTTGTTATTTTACTTTTTATGCAGTCAGATTTATTACAGTATTCTGTTTTCTATCTGTCTGCTCTTCCAACTTAACATGCTGTGATGCCTTAACCATATAATTAGGAATGGTGGTAATCTAAGGGTCTGCATACTTTTTTAATCTAATTAATTTTGTCAATGCCTAGTTGTAGTAGTTCCTCTATATCCTTTGTTTCATTGGATCAAAAATAAAAGAAATTCTTTTCCAACTATGAAAATACTGCATTGTTAATTGTATACAGCAAAGAATATTTGTTCCTGATGGAAAATATTGTGAAATATTTATAACCAATTATCCAAAGTATTAAACTTATATTTACATGATGTTATTCAGTACAAAATATGCATCTTTATGATTTCCTGTGATGCAAAATGTACATTAACTCATGCATACCTTGACTGATATGGTTCAAACTGCTAAATTACTTAGTATGATGGGCAGAGGGTATAAATCTTTTTTAAGGAATTTTAAATTTGTCTTGGCAGTGTTAATGGGATGAATTTGGTGAAAAGATTGAATATATTTTGTTCGCATATTGCCCTTTATTTTTTAATGTGCTTGAGATGTATGCATCTAAGGCTTTGGGTGCTGCAAATGTCTCAACAAGATTTGATTTTTTATAATTATTGTAATCTTAATAAAAATACCTCAGCAAAGCATCTCTATCGAGAAAGATCTTTGTCTGTTTGTTGACTGTGAATTTAGGGTAAGTCACTTGCCCAATATTTACTCTTAACATCTGAAACCTGTAATTAATTCAATTACTACAAAATAATAACATACAAATGGGCTTATCACAACAAATGTTTCACAATATGTAAAAAAAAAAATAACCATATTTAATAAATTTTAGTGTATAAAACATTTATTTATGGAATAAAAATTAATCAAGTACACTCAGGATCAAAACTCTGGATGGACGAATACATGTCATTCAGTATCATCCATATCAATAAGGGCATAAACAAAACAGCCAATACTGTCTTTGGTCAACATGGCCTGAGTGAGTCACAACCTTAGTTTTTGAACATTATTACATTACTTAGACTGATTACTGCTTCATTAAGAAACACATAATTTAGAAACTGACTATCAACAATCTCAGGTTAATATATTGAATCATGCAAGGTAATACTGAAGCAATGGCTTCCTGGAAGATGGTACAAAGGAGAATTGATAGTCCAGCAGTGAAAGTAAAAGAAGTGAATGATACAGATTTCAGACCTTAAACTAATTAGCAGCAAAAATGTAAATGACATATACTTACCATAGCTTTTATTAGAAAACAGCAAATTAAAAACACCAATTGGCAATATTGAAATAGCATGCTTATTTATGATTTAAATTGTACAATACTTACCATTTTCCTTATTATCATTACTAATGCACAACACTTATCTATCTTTCTTTCACAATATCTTATTTTTCCAAGGATATAAATACATTTCATTCTCATTCAATGAAAACAACAGGAAAAATGAATATACTTCAAATAATGTCCCAAGTCAGGAGCCTGTATTTTAGTGGTTGTCATTTTGCTGTATATCATATTTGTTTTTCGTTTATTGTTTTGTATCAAATCAGGACATTCATTACCTCGTCTGAATTGTTTTACATTTGATCTGTTAGGGCCTTTTATAGCTTGCTATACGGTTTGGGTTTTGCTCATTGTTGAAGGCCGTATGGTGACCTATAGTTGCTTATTTCTACATCATTTGGTTTCTGGTGGAAAGTTTTCTCATTGGCAATCATATCACATCTTATTTTTATATTAATTGATATCCTTTTTTCATAAAGATAAGCCTTAAAAGTCTTATGAGAAATGGTGTCCTGATCCCCAATTTCAAATTTATTGCACTTTAATTTTGGTTCATGTGTTGGAATAATGAGTCATTCTGCATATCCTTACACTTTTTCCTATCAAATACTTATTATTTCTTTAGTATTTATCTATATCACATTTTAACTTGTGGTGAACTTCATATTGTACATGGTGGTGAAACCCCATGGTTCATTCATTGGCACACATGTTCAAGGTAAAATGTTTTGTAAATTTAATTGGTGTGGTTAGTATCAACAAAATACATACAATTGAAGTGACTGTCCTGAGCTGTCCTCGTCCAATACAGTATCTGTCAAAGAAAACAGCATCAATGTCCTTGCAAATACCTTCCTTGGTTCCTCTGCTACACATATACACGTGCCCAACAACTTCTTGGCTCTGAAAGAAAATGGGAAAAATGATCATGTATTATTTACTGGTTTTTTTAATAATATTAATTATGCATGAAAAGTTTCTCTTCGGTTTGGCTTAAATGCTCTGCAGAATAACATTTTGGGGTACACAATGTTAACAATATTACCTTTAGATAAAGATGGGTTTTTTTCACCAATTTGTTTATGTCACATGCTTTCTTGTACTTTGTAATATAAGCGATATTCTAAAATTGCCTCTATGGGTAGTTACCCCAAAGTTGAAAGTGTCATCCCTGGGTACCATGTATGATTTAATGGACCAACCCTCATCAATAAGTTCTAAACATTGTTTAAGTGATCATTAGATTGTTTCTTTGTATTCTGAACAAAACAAATATTGCACAGTTTTTTAAAATTATTTTGAAATAAAAAGTCAAACATTTGAATTGGATTGTGCAAATTTTTTAATTACACTGATACAGATATATACGAATAAAAACTATCCTGTAGCAGTTGACTGAAATTTTTAACTAGTTCATCAGTTTGAAAAAGAGAATTCAAACTTCAACACGAAAAAGATTTTTAGCCAATCGGTATTGTGAAAACAAATCCTTCTGGAAAAATACAGCAATAATACACATAAATTTGATTATTTATGTTCTGGGTTATTGTCTCGTTGATGTTTACCCCAACTCTCCCTTTTTCATAAATGTATCATAATATGCTACTAGACACCTCTGAGTAGTGAATTATAGATTAAATATTAACTTTTAGATGTGAAGCTATCAAAACATCTAATCAGGGAAATCTGATATGTGATACACAATGCTTTAAATATCCCTTTTGTATGAAAATATGAATAACATTACATTTTAGAATTACCTATTCAACATAAGAGTTTCAGGAGAATTTCCTGCGACTTTGAACATAGAACCTATTGTATTCTGTTTTGTCTTTTTAATCAGAAGGTCTGTAATATCAACTTTATTCTGACTGGCAGTATTCATGTGATACAATTTTGCTAAAGTCTTTGTGTCACCTCCTGATAATAACTTCAAAGCTATCTTCAGATCTTTTAATTCTTTATCTGTGAAAAAATAGAACAGTTTAATAACATTGTTTTTCCTCTGTAAAATTTCTTACAGATAGCATTAGTCATTATGTCTTCATATTTGAGTCAGTTTTTTCACTTAAAATTACCAAATGATGATAGCATCTTTTAACTTTATACAGGCCATTTGATAATTTCAAGGGGTTCCTTTTATGATTGCCTTTGCAGATGGGTTTGTGTCTCATTGACATTAGTCAAATGTCACTTTTTATTTTAATTTGAACTTTTATTTACAAAATTTATAACTGTGACAGCCTGGTGTTTGAGGTGTGTTTAAATATGTTGTTTCTTTAAAATAAATTATTAGACAATGACATTTCTGTAAATTTAAGTCAAGTATAACTATTAAATCAGCCTGATTACCTTCAGTTAACATCTTTGTCTTTACAAGTTCTTCAACAACAGGCTCTAAATCCTCTGCTATCCTGGGATATTTAATCTTACTTAGAGGTAGCCATACCCACTTTCTACAGAATAATCTCAAGTACAACTTCTGTGCCGTTTCTGTGAAGGAAAGTAAATAATTAACATCCGAGTTGCTTATAACTGTTTCTTCTTTAAATATTGCAGTACATGTATTACAACTGCAAATATCAGATAAATATATGAGCCTTTTATTTTATTTTCCAAAGTTGTTTTATTACTATTGACAGAGATAATCCTAAACCAAGTATTATGACAGTTCTGAAATATTTTCAAGTTATGTGAATGAAAAAAAAAAATACTGACATATTCATTCTAAAAAGTGCTTTAAAATGAAGACCTGCTTTTTTTTAAATTGAAGACTTTACATTACCAGTAATCATTTAAACTATTGCCTATCTGTATTTGTTTCTTCAATTACATTTCCTCTTTCCTTGAAGTTTCTAGAACTAATATATGTAGTGGTTATATTTGATGTTTCCAAAATCATTATTCTGATTTATAATTGTCCTAAATATGCATAAGACATTTGCCACTGGTGGCTAAGCATATATTAACTATAACACAATACAGGGTTCAGATGTACATAATTTGCATAACACTATATTATAGCATTTTCAGTTATAGAATATTTAAAGAAAAAAAGAAATCCTAATTGTTTACAAAAGGTGAAGACTGATTTAACCATCTTTTCCTCAATTATGACCTACTGATTTTGACTTATCACCGGGTTTGTACTTAAACAAGCAACACAATGGGTGCCACATGTGAAGCAGGATCTGCTTACCATTCTGGAGCACCTAGGATCATCCCAGATTTAGGTTGGGTACGTTTTGCTCCGTCTTTAGTTTTCTAAGTTGTGTTTGGTATACTGTTGTTTGTCTTTTTAATTGTTTTTCGGTTTGTGCCACAGCAATGTCAGTTTGTTTTTGTTTTTCGGTTTGTGCCACAGCATTGTCAGTTTGTTTTTTGTTTTTCCCTTTGTGCCACAGCATTGTCAGTTTGTTTTCGTTTTTCGGTTTGTGCCACAGCATTGTCAGTTTGTTTTTGTTTTTCTGTTTGTGCCACAGCATTGTCAGTTTGTTTTTGGGTTTGTGCCACAGCATTGTCAGTTTGTTTTTGTTTTTCGGTTTGTGCCACAGCATTGTCAGTTTGTTTTTGTTTTTGGGTTTGTGCCACAGTATTGTCAGTTTGTTTTTGGGTTTGTGCCACAGCATTGTCAGTTTGTTTTTGACTTATGAGTTTGAATAAATATTTATCCCTTTGGTATCTTAAGCCTCTCTTTTTAAAATCATATTTTTTTCATAATTGACATGTGTAGATTCTATCACTTCATGCAATAGGAAACACTATGTCTCCAATCTACTTAAATGTTAACAATTATTTTTAATATTATAAATAAAAATTGCTATAAATAGTGGTGAAATACATGGTTATCCATGAAAAGCAGTGTATAAACATGTGTGCACAAAATGAGGAAAAAAATGATGTTCTCTGAAGTTATAAAATTTGCTCTATATGTACAACCTTAAACATAGTTGACTTTTACCATGCAAAGTAATGTGAAGACTTTATTCAATTTTCACCAATGAAGAGCCTGGGATACATTTAAAATAAACTATGGGATCAGACAAAAGATTTAGAGAAACTTCAAAATAAATAATTTTTACCAGATAATTCATTAAATGTTGAAATAACATCCATATCCTCCCTATCATACAACTTAATATTATTTTCATCTTCAAAAACAGTTGATAGCACAGTTCTAAAATTCTCTAAATAGTATGGCGTCCTAAATTCTGAACTCTTATCTTCATCAATGTCTATATCTTCATTTTGTTGAGAACTTTCATCAACAACACTTGATTCAGAAGAATTTGATTTGACCAATTTATAATTTGGAGATTTAGAAGTACAAGGCTCTTCTTTCATTGATTGAAATGGCTGTGTGTTCAACATGTGACCATTTTCTGTCTTGATGTCTCTTCTACCTGAGGGATCTTTATTTTCTAAAGAACACTCTCCCTGACCACCAGATTCAGCAGTTATTTTGATTTTAATACCATCATCTAAAACTTGATTTTCATAATTATGTTTGTCATGAGAACATGAATGTTGATCATGTGATTTGTCCATATGAGAATTTTCTCCTTCCTTTTCAGTTTTACTCATTTTACTAGATTCTTCTTCCAAAAAAGTATCAGATTTTCTTTTCCTGAGATTTAACATTCTTTTTGTTTTTCTAGAGCTGTCAGAAGTGTTTTGGTTTTCCTTTTGAGATGATTCATTTACAATATCATCTGTTACTTCTCCCAAGCCATCTCCATCCTCTCCTGTAACAATATCTTTATCTTCAGATGAACTGACAGTGTTCGACTTTTTGGAGTTCAATTTACAAACGCTTCCATCTGTTTTACTTTTATCTGAAATTTTATCTAAACAATCAGGTTCAGTCAAAGAAGGTATGTCTGCTGAACCCGTATTTCCAGATACTTTCCCTGAATACTTAACATCTGTTTTTGTATGAGATGTTGAACTTCCAGCACTGGCAGATTTCTTAAGACTTAATCTACGTCTTGTCTGAACTCTATTTCCCTCGCATCCATCACAAGAGCCTTTCTGGAAATATGAAGATTCTGTTTCTACTTTGACAATCATAACATCATCATCACTGCTTGATGTCTTTGCTGGACTGCAATCTGAAAACATTCATAATTTATACTCAAATATAGTCTTTATTTAATTTAATCACACTTTTTTAGACTTTGGGGATTTTGAGCATGACACACTGTATGGATACCTGTCTATTGTTTATGTCCATACGTTGACCTCTTGATGTTTTGTGTTGCATATACTTAACATCTCCTTTTATTCATACAAAATTCCTGGATATGTATTTCAATTAAAAAAGTGGACTAATTCATATTAATAGGATGATAGATTCTATCAATTTGTGGATATAGGTAGAATATGAACTGTAAGTTATAGCGAAATACAAATGTACAAATTTTCCATTGATTTGAAATAATAGGATCAGAAAACTCATCAAAACAGTAACTTCATTGACCTATCAATATCTATGAAATTAAAATGTACATCATTCCACAGTTAACAAATAACATGTTTTATAAAATTTGACTGAAGTTTTACTTTAAGTGCCAATCTGCCTAAAAATCAGACAGAGGTGAAAACATGACAAACAAAAACCCACTCAAGTTTACATTATTTCAAGTTCAAAATATACAATAGTGCAGAATATAACATTTGTTTCCCTTTTCTGTTCTGGAATTTCAAGATATAATTTGGTTGTTATCCACTAGAAATTAACAATTAGGGGGAGCTAACTACGCAATTTGCTATCATTCTAACCATTCATACCTTCTCCTGTGTGTCATGGTAAACTTACTTGTCTTTTCCATGGATGAAGCTATTTGTTTCTTGAACATGGAAGTTATAGTTTGAGTACCAGGTGTAGGTTTAACAATATCCTTCCCTTTTGAATTTGCTTTCTTCTGATTAACCTTCATTTCATCAACCTAAAAAATATGTTCACAAAATACAGTTGATAAAGTTCTAGCTGCTGTTCACCACTCAAATACAGTACATATATATATAGAGTACAGATGTAATGGTCTAGAATGAAATGTCTGGGTTATAGTTTGTAACAACCTATCTCTAGCAAGGGGTTTAAATTTTACACTAGTTGATCATGTTTAATTGCAGCTTGAAAACATGTTTTGGCAATTAGTTTTGTGTAAGGACATGTACAAAGCCTCTTACATAAACACACTCAAATGAGTCAAACTTGTTAAAAAGAGAGTGTAAATTTACCAAGTCCCAAATGAAACAGGTGAATAAAAATAACTCATTATACTTCATGTTAAAATGCCAGATTTTGATTGGGTAATACGAGGGAGATAATTTACTCTATCCCATGGCTCAGCGGGAGACAATTTTTTGAATGTCGCCCTTTCTTGCAGACCAATCAAAAATCAATAATTCAAAGGACAATGAATTGAAGTTACATCAATAAATTAAAGACATATTGAATGCTCAAATTCTACATTTTTGCCTCAAAACTTTTTTCATACACTGTCAAAATAAGAAAAATATATCTTGCTGCAATTCTGTTGTTTTTCTAATAACTGTAACGTTGTTATGTATATGACGTCATAGTTAAGTACTTTCAATTCAAAATGTAATAGTAAAAGACAATAATGATAGAACATTCAGTACAATAAATTAAATAACACATAGCTGAGAGGGTGATAGAGCAGATTGGTACTCCTTGGAAGAACATTGTGAACCTCGGCTTCGCCTCAGTTGACAATGTTTTCTCTGGGTAACAATATGTTCTATCACCCTCTCAGCTATTTGTTATGTATACAATGTTTAATACAGAAATTTTTGCACAAAATGAATGTGTGTTTATTTGAATTAAGTGAATTATTTACATGTTATAACTGATGGTTGGTAAATTTGAGTAGTTTTTATTAAGTTTTGCAAATAGGATGCACGGTTCAACAACTGAACTTTTGCCACAGTTTTCCAGCAATGCTTAAAGCTTCGTAGAATATTGCAAAGATTATAATTTTCTTTAATTTTCTAAAAATTACCCACAGTTAATAAGTATTAATTTAAATGATAGTAAACACAGTCGTATAAACAAGAGGCTCCTAAGAGATTGAATTGTTCACCTGGATTTATTGTGTAGATCTTGCATCAATGATTATTTTACTGTTTAATGTATATTAATGCGTGTTCAAACATGCCTTTCAAGATTCTCCCCATCTATCATGATTTCTGCGACAAACAAAAAAAATCAGTAAAAATCATCTTTCAAGGGCAATAACTCCTATAAGTGATCAACTGACAATTTCGGTAATGTTGACTTATTTGTAGCTTATTTTGCAGAATATTTTTGCTGCTTGAATTTCTGTTTATCTTAGTCATGTTAGTATCTATTTGAAAGAAAAAAACTTATATATTTTATAAAAAAATAATCTTTCAAGGAAAATAACTCCTATAGGGAATCAATTTACCAACTCCATTCTGAGACTTACTTGTAGATCTCACTATGCTGAACTTTTTTGCTGTTTAAAATTACTCTTTATCTTTAATAGTTTTCAAGATAACAACCAAAAACTGAGAAATTTCATAAAAAAATATTATTTCAGGGGCAACAGTTAATTCCAAATAGGGTGTCTGATACGTCTGCCAATTTCCTCGCAAATAAATATTGAACTGTTGATCACTCTTACCAAATGTCAGTTTTGCTATTACTGCTTTGGTTTTTAAGATATTTATATAAGCCAAAAACTGCTTGTTACCCCTATTTTCTATTTTAAGCCATGGTAGCCATGTTTGTTGACTGACTGGAATAAAAAAAAACACAAAATTTATACCAGATACCAAAAGAATCATTCAACCCAAGTTTGGTTGAAAGTGGTAAATTTGGCAGTTTCAGAGAAGATCTTTGAATAAGTTTATGATGATGATGATGATGATGACTGATGCCAAGTGATGGCAATAGCTCTCCTGCAGCCGGTTGTACGAACGTTGCATTAGCCTAATGGGTCATTAAGTCTTCATTAACCCTCTTAATGCCAACGCGACATATATGTCGTTTCAGTGTTGATGCCAAAGCGACATATAAGTCGTTTGGGGGTTTGATGCCAAGGCGACATATATGTCGTTTCAGCAATATTACAATAAGTATATATTATAAATCAAAACTTTGCAACCTATACTACACTAAATAATTAATGCTTTATAACATTGTTGACCATCGGTCATCTAAGTGTATTTTGAAGCAATGACGTAGTATCCATGACGTCATTGTGACGTTATAATTATGGCACAAGTAAATTTAGTTTTCTTTCTTTGAAAAAAAACTCGTCTTCCAGCGGCAAACGACAACGTTGGTTTTTATATTTGCATGCACGCACATGACACTGATGCTGACGATTTAAAGATCGACATAAGAGCTGGAAATTAACACAAGATAATTGAACAACAAGACCGTGCCGCCCTTTTTTTGGCATTGTAACTTACCAGACTAACATAATATAAAACAATTTATTGACCGCATATCCGACATATATGTCAGACTGTGTGTTGAAAAATACTTTAGAAAGTTTCGCACATAACGTATGTTCGAATAGTAATGTTTATGTGTTTACACTCTCAGTCCGAAACGGGAAATCGGTCCACCCATGACAGAATCATGGCCCAAGAGAAAGCACAGTTAGGACTCGCTAAATATTAAAAGAAAATATTGAGATTTGGAGTTATGAAAATTTAGAAAAACACTAATTTTAAACATGGAACTCAACAGAAATTCCCTAACATTCTCGAAAAAATACACACTGCCAATGCCCACATTTTCTTATTTAAATTGAATTCCTTTTATCCAAATGGTGTTTGACTGATAAGCGACAAATTCTTGACTTTTATTTGATAAACAAAATTTCGTATTTATTAGTTTTCGACAATTGAAATTTAACCATGTTTTTTACTCCTTTTGATGTTTCAAAGTGTTCTTTATTATTGCTAGCTGAGTTCCTGCCATGAAAGAGGAAAGGGTTAATTCCATTTTTTACAAACATGTATTTCGTGAACTTCGACTGTTTTATTTGTGTGAACACCGCAGGAAAAATATTTTACAAACATTTTAGAATGAAATCATGTCATTAAACATTATGTGGTGCATTATTGACGGACACTTTCAGTCGGCTTCACATAGTTAAGAGACGAAATATTTAATTTAAATTTTAAGTAAAGTTATTTTAAAACTGAATTTACGATTAATTAATTGCATGTCATTTAGTTCAGTGACCAATATTTCATACTTATAATATAAAAATAAGGGAATGTGGTATAACTGCCAATGAGACAACAATAAACCAAAGTTGAAAAGAAGTGGATGTCAGCAACATTGCAGACAACAGTACGGCCTTCAACGATGAGAAAAGCAATACCACTAGTCGCCTATAGAAGGCCCCGAAATAAAAAATGTGAAATAATTCAATTGAGAAAATTAATGACCTAATTCATAATACTATATAAGGTCTTACTAAATATAGACTAGACTACTATATTTGGCTTATTCATACTCGTGTACAAGTATAACACATAAGTTTTTAATCATTTATTGAAAAAAATGAAAGTTACTGAATGTTTTTGATACTATTTTGGTATTTTTAGCCATGCATGCACCATCTGTATCCAGCTTGAAATTTTAAAGCCTGAGGGACCAGTATTTTTTATTTGAAGTCTGACTTTTCCGGATTTAACAGAAGCTAGGGATTTGAATTTCACTAAACAGATACCACAGACCTGGTCATGAAATATTCATAAATAAATTATAGAGAATAAACTGATGAAACAATATGTTCTCCGAGTGTTCGAAATTCATTTTTGTAATTTAACTTAAAAGGATCTTGTCGATAATAGTACTTCTCTGTGCGATGATTCACATTAAAAAATACAAAACGAACACCCAATGTCTATGCATTCGTTAGAAGAGAACACGAAAAAATATATAAGAGGAGACACCCTCTACTGGCACATTTTTTTTTACACAAAACCAGCAGCGGTTATTACGACCTTTAAAATCTTGAACTATTTTTAACGTTTTGATTCGGTTAATGATGTAAAATATACCATTTAGAAATGATATAAGTTGTTTTGCAGGTGAAGAATACAAGGAGTATGGGTACTAAAATTATTTTCGATAATAGTTACGGGCAATACTTTCTTTCTTACTGTTTTTTATTTGCTGTATGTTTTAGAAATTGAGGTTGTTCTACAGAAATTTACACAAAAGGAATCTTGTCACCTATAGGTTGCAATTCTGTAAATATAGACAATGCAATTTCCCATAGGAACTCCCTTTGCGGCTAAAACTGTGACACTTTTACTATGAAGTTTCGTGAAAAATAATATCCTAGAAAGGAAAGTTTATATGCACTACTATTTTATTCAAAGGTCAAAATATAGGGCTGTACGGCATATTTTCAACATTTATATGCCCTGAACTTCTAAGAGTTTAAACTTATACTGAAATTCTATACTACCCTTACCTCCATTTTTGGACCTCCTAAGAATTAAAATTTAGGCGCTACCATGTTTTTCTATACTGGTTACATTCCCAAGTGATGTCTCTATGAAATGAAACACAGAGATCATAAATGGGAACCAGTACGTTAACAAATTAACATATCTATGAATATTATATATCTCCCCAAAAGAGGCGTGGTTTGAGAAACAGCTGTATTTACAAAGTGCAACCTTCAATACCCCATCTCCAAGATAAAAAGAAGTGGTATAGGCCTACATCAAAAGACACAATAAATTAAAAAAAATCATGACAAACAGAGGTTGACAAACATTCAATACACAATCACATCTATATAACTTCATATATTAAATAGTCCCGTGTCGAGACAAGTTAAGATAAATTTAAGCCCGTCTTCTGAATTTATCCCTAAACATTAAATGCAAGAAAAAAATGTTCTTACATGTAATATAAAAAACACTACTGCTCACATGGTTTATGTATAGAGACAGCACGGGACAATGTTGCGAGGTTAAAATATCACGACATTACTCGCCTCCTTTTTTATCGGTAATTGTTAAATCAAAATGTTACTTATAGAAAAATAAAAGTTCTTAAACATGGGGAAAAACGATTATAACTGACCCTTCATCATGTTCATTACCCTTTTAGAAGAAATTATGTACAACTCCTTTTTATACAGTGGCCGAGAAGTATTTTTCACGAACAACTGTTGGCTATATATTACATTTTTTATAAATTTTATAAAGTTATTTCTAATTGGGTTTCAATCAACCAATTGAACAAAATTATCACAAATCTATTTGTTTATAAGTTATATTTATCCTTGGACAATTATCTTTTACTGGTGATAAAAACAATAATTTTTTATCCCGAAGTTTGCCATATATTTTACCCAAATTAGTTTGCAAAATATTAATATCAATGTTCACATCAGTAGAAAACAAAAACAATCGAAGATAAAACCCTAAAATATCTTTTTAAAAACTGTTATGATATGAAAATATATAGCCAAAATTGTAGGTGGCAAATACGTATTGCATAATACTTTACAATATTCTCTTGCAATTTAAAAAAAGAACTTTTAATAATTGGTCTTGCTTTTTGGAGAATTATATCAGTCGAAAATTTAAATGGGTAAAGTAACTAACACGTAAATTGCACAAATTCAACAGTATTTTCAAAAATTTTATCAGTTAACTTTACATTCATGAGTCTCCTTGGTCCATCAAGAAGCAAATTTGTATTGAAAGATTTTAATCGGTCAATTTAGCATTATCAAAATGATCTCCTGGTCACCGCTATTGTGAATGCCGTTCGCGTAGAAAAAAGAACTTTATAAATCAATATGAGAAAAAAAAACGCCAAAAAGACGACGTCAAAAGAATTTGGTACTGGCGACGTCAAATTGTCATTGCCTATTGGCAACGTCAAAACGTTGATTTTTTTAATGTGGCATCAAGAGGGTTAAGCCTTTATGATGCATTAGGCTAATGAAGACTTAATGACTCATTAGCCTGATGACACGTTCGTACAACCGGCTGCTGGCCATTTGGGCAGGGTGAGCTATAATTAATCATTCAAATTATGAAAAGGTAAAACAAACATATAATTCACTGAAAACACCATAATAGATTCTATAGAACTACGTCATGTTCATTGGGAGACTTTATTTGATCTTGTAAGGTTTGAAAAATAGACACCTGTAATAAACAGATAAATAAAATTGGGTTATATTATGTTTGGGAGATAGGACTCTCTTAATGGAAGCAACTAACTTGCACAAGTTACACTGAATGGTCAGATGATTGATGGGAAACTCCGAGAGATTTATATATTTTTCTGAACTTTTCTCCGAGTGTTTATTTCAGGTAATTAAAAGGTGTCATGTGAAAGAAAAACGTATTGTCAGTCATGTAGATTATGTGAGTGCATGTACCGATGCATATTAAAAAAAGCATGACATTAAACACTTGGTTATTACTTTAAAAATTTCAACATGCAAATTTTGCAAAAATTGGATGATTATGTCCCCCTGAAATTTGTAGTATAAAGAAACATTTCCGGTTTGAAAAAGGAGATAAACCGTGCAATAGCTTAAAACCAACGTCCTTATAGACACAACAGAGGACAACTGTGTGACAATGAAAAATCATTTGCAATATTTATTTTTTTTAATTTTTATTTATAATTTTATGTGAAAACATTTATTGAATTGAAATTTTATTCAAAAATACTCATAATTTCATCATAAATTGCTGTCCATCTTGGAACACCTGAATTAGTCCTCAGGTATCCTTGGTGGGATTTGTGTTGCAAAATCTTCAATTTTAGAAACTTATTTTTTTCTATTTTTTCTGTAGGCAATGGCATTGTCTGTCTTTCAACTGATAGTTTTTAATTGCATTACTGATTACTTTTTCTTTATTCCAGATGCCCAATGCTGTATGAAAGAAGTGAAGACCGTTTTACTTTGAAATAAATTCATATTTGACCCAGCAATCTCCTTCAGATAAATAAAGTGTCCCTTGACAAAATTCAGATTTAACTGCATGAACTTGACTTCAAATAAGTTTCTAGAGTACTTTATGAGTTTGTAATGATATAGCTTTGGTTGACTTACGGTACAGTACAGTAAAGGGGACATTTATGTTCATAGAGAGGTGGAGGATACTGAAGGGATATTAGATGACAAGCTGCACTTTATTTCTATAAATCAATGACTTGCACTACAAGTAATACCTGCAATAAACCATAAGGAACAACCGGTTTCTATTCAGTTTCTGACAAGAGAGTGAATGAAGGTAATCAAACCCATATAGAACCGAATAATGCTACCTACTTTATTGACCAAATACCATTAGATTAATTTCCTTTTATGCATATTTACTCAGTACATGAACAATGTATTATTATTTTTGATGTCCATCGACAATTCAAATAATTCAGGATATTCATTTCAAAAACTATTTTACTAAAAAATTGGCAGATAAAAAAGGTCAATGATTTTGAAGACCACACACCAAAGACACCATGCAACCATACATCTCTATTTTAATTTGTATTATATATCTATTTATTTTAGTGGGGGGGGGGGGAAGGGGGCATAGTTGTTTCTTTTAATAAATTGTTTCGTTGGTTTCATCTAAAGGGAAGAGAAAAAAGGTTTGTTTCCATTGAAAATTGTGGGGGGGGGGGGGAAATTAAAAAAATAATCTTGTTCCTCTATGCTATTGAAAAAAATAGAGTTGTTTTTATAACATTGTAGTAAAGTTTGAGTTTTTCTGACATTTACCCAACACTGTAAATCTATATTGAAATAATGGACCTTGTTGAATTTCAGGAATTCAATGTGGCAGCTCATTCAAAGAATGACCCAAATTAGTAACAACATGTCAACTGTTGATAAGATGGCAAACATTAGCCCAAAAAACCAGGCATAAAAATTGCATTTGAATACAATTTATCATTCAAATTATTTGTTGCCTTTTTCTTGACTGATATTTAATTGATATCTTAGTTGCCACCTGAAACATTGCAAATTTGGACTGCAAGTGTCAATTGACTTTAACTTGAAGTAAAGTCAATCAACCCCTTCGCCCCAAACCCACCTGTTGTTGTCATTGCAAGTTATTCTTTTATTGCCCATATGACCCTCCATACTTTTTTAGAACTGCCTCAGCTGAACTGTGTTGGCAGCAGGGAGTTCAATCTTGCAATGCATGGTCCATAAACTCTTTCCAGATGTGTTGTTTATAATGAAGATATGACAACATATATGCCCTTCTTAGAGTTAAAAAATGAAAATTGTGAAAAGTAGCCAAAATCAAAATCATGTGGGGGTGGGACTCATTTGATGACCACTGCCTTAGTGACATATGCTGTATCTATTAACTATTATCCTAAATGCATGCATAGGTAGTTCAGGAATACTAGGAGGTATTATATGACCCCAAAAAAATCTGGTCTGTAAAAACTAAGTCACAGTTTTGTCAGCAATCTGTAAAAACAGACATTTTCGGCAGACCTGGTTTGTCATTAATAATTCCCCAGCAAGACAATCAAGTCAGCATGGATGGGTTGCTGTAACTACAAGGTAATAATCGAATTACACAGAAATACAGTTTGGTCAATGTTCACCTCTCAAGGTCATATCAAAATAGAAAAATAGACTGAAAATGACAAATTAAACACTATCAATTCATAATTACTTATCACATTTGACAAAACTTGAGGGACACAGGCAGCTGTCTGCAAAATAAAGAATAAGCCTCATTGTAACCAAAATAATTCAGCTAAACATTTAAGATAATAAGCCAGACCACATATCTTATCATTATAAGATTCTATAACAAACTAGGCCTTAAAGAAACACTTTGACACCCCTTGTCAATGTTATCTGTCCTGCATATAATTAAAAGTAGGAATTGAAAATAATCTGAGTATTTATAATGATTTTGGTAGGACCATGACATGGATTAAACACAGAACAGTATTTCAAAAGAAGACAGCAGCTAACTTTAAAAGTTATTAAAATTTTAATATCTAAGATCTGAAAGAAATAAATATGTTCATGTACAATCTTTAATAAAACAATCACACTAATTAAGCATACACTAAAATAAAATGTTTGTCAACTTTGCTGATTTCCATCTAAAATTTGTTGGTTTTTTTTTTCTTCAAGTCTTTTTAAAGCTTTCTTTGACAGTTTTTTCTTCCACAATCCATTTTCTATTTTATATGTTTTACTATGGTGTGTGCAGGCTCCATGATTAAGCTGGAACTGGCATAAGGCTTCTAAAGGCTTGGTTAATACCTGTAAATACAATTACACATTGATAGTTAATATAATATTGAATTTATAAATAGTGTGGTTGGTATAAAGTTATTTTCATGCAACTTGTTTCCAATTTGATTTCAAGTTTTTGTGCTTGAACTTCATTATTCACTGTTTCATGTGAACTGCTTAAACAGCAACATGTAAGGTATTTTTTTTTCATTATGAAATGGCCATTTTATTACCTGTTTGTCCATAAAAATACTCCCATCCTCTTTAAGACACTAAATAATTTTATTGTAATTACCTCAAATTTTTTTAAAACTTCAAAGTATTTTTTTAGACCTTTATAACATTAATTACCAATTACAGTTACTTGTGATAACTTCCTTTTTTTCAATTGTTTTCCTGAGTAAAAAAAGAACTACATTCCTAGTTCAAATTTATAGATAATGGTCATGATGGTATTGTCATTTTATCAATTCACTACTGGAATAATTGTTTTATTTTATGCATAGTAATCCCAGCAAGCAATGGCTAAACCATCATAAACAAGTAATGAATTCATATATCAACATGTTTGTGAAGAAAATGTAAAGAAAAAATATTTAAAAGTCTTAATTTACATGGAAAAATATCTTCTTATGGAAGGCTTTCTTCTCTTGTCATTTATGCATTATGACACTTGATGATTTTGAAATTATTGTGTGTTTCGATATTTGAACTTTGTACAGTTTAAAGATCAGTGGGGGAGTTTGCTTGAGCAATACACACAGCTGCTGAGCTCATTTTGCAGGCATCGCCTAGTTCATATAATATCTTTTATTTTCAAAGCTTTTAAGATGCATGACATGTTTATTCAAAATCTTATTCCTCTATAGTAAATTTGACCAAATACCTACATCAAATAAGTCTGGGATCTGTTCTAACACAGATAAAGCAAAAGCTGCAGTTTCTAGGGTAGACAGGGAACCATCATCTGGCTGAGTACGTATCACATATTTACTTTTTACAGTAGGATTAATTTGCACCTGAAATTAAACATAAAACTAAAAAGCACGTTCTTCTTTTTAGTTGAAAACCTATACATGACTCTTATTTTTATGACAAAGAGTGTAATTGGTGCTGTTTTTCTTTTTAAATCATTTTTTTTAACTTAAAACATGTACTGTCAATTCAGAAACTTTTATAATGTTTTTATTATTGCAAAGGGATAGGTTGGAAAAACACGATTCCAGACTCCCAACTTAAAATATGCTTCCCTAGTTATGCTAGCAATTTTCTGCAAACAAGAGTCATAAGATATTGCCTCAGCTAAAATTAAAGAACCTTTGTAAGCATGCTTACATACTCCATGCCCTTACATTGTCACTGGGCAAACAAAATCTCACTAGATTCCTAAGTTCATAAACTGATAACTCCAACAAAAGTCAACTGATAAAAATTTCTTGATAAATATGCACATTTACATATTATGTCCTTATTATCTACAAAGTTTCATAAAATTCTGTTATGTGGTTTCAGAGGAATTGCAATGACATACTGTTGTAATAGTTCAAAGGGGCTTAACTCTTAGAAAATAATTGAATCATAATTTCCTGTCGATATGCACATCTACATAGTATGACCTTATGATCTACTAAGTTTCATGAAATTCTGTTGTATGGTTTAAATTTTGGTTTTAGAGGGATTGCGATGACAAGAACAGGACTGACAAACTGATGGATAGACTAACTGACAGACGGACGGACGGTAACTTCTAGAAAATAATTGAATCATAATTTCCGATCGAAATGCACATCTACATAGTATGTCCTTATTATCTACAAAGTTTCATGAAATTCTGTTGTGTGGTTTTAGAGGAGTTGTGATGACAAGAACAGGACTGACGGACAGATAGGTCAAAAGCATTATACCCCACGGAACAAAGTTCCGTGATAATAAACCAAACGAATTTTTAGTACTAATTGTCAACAAGATATCTGACCTGGATGTGAAATCTGTAAGCACGGACCTAAAAAATCGTCTGCAACACTAAATTATATTTGTTGCATTAACCTTCAGGCTAAATCCATGACATGATCACAGATTTTCTAATAGTGGCGATTATAATAATAAACTGTTACCACAGAGATATGTCTTGCCTTTATGTACTTTTGATAATGCAAATGTTGAAATTAAAATAGCAATACTGTGGATTCATTAATATTCGTTGGATACCAATTTTCGTGGATTTCGTGGGTACAGGTGAACCACGAAATTAAATGTTCAACGAATGACAAATTTTCTATAGGCTTGTATGCAGACTTCAGCAAAACCACGAAATCAAATATCCACGAACATGCAAGTTTTCCCTAATCCACGAAAATTGGTACCCACGAAAATAAATGAATCCACAGTACTTTAACATTTAAGTTAAATGTAAGTTATGCAAATATTCAAAGTCAATGAACCATGACTGAAGGTACATGGCAAAACAATCTCCATGGAAATGAGATGTGCCAATGCTAATACAACTGCATACCAAATAAGTCGTTCCCTTTCAACAAACCTAAACACAAACATTGACTTGTAAACTATGTAAAAGTTTCAAAGTCAATGAACCATGATGAGGGGGTGGGGCTATATATTCTCCATGGAAATAAGACTTGCAAATGCCAATAAATCTGCATACCAAATATCATTCACTTAACATTAGCAGTTCATCTTAAACTGATCTAATCACAAACTAATACATGTAAACTAAGCAAAAGATTCAAAGTCAATAGACAATGACTGAGGGGGCGGGACCAAATATTCTCCATGGAAATGAGGTGTGCTAATGCTTATACAATTGCATACCAATTAACATTGGCCTACCACTAATGGTTCCCCTTGAACTGACCTAATCACAAACTAATACATGTAAACTAAGCAAAAGTTTCAAAGTCAATAGACCATGACTGCAGGGGCGGGACCAAATATTCTCCATGGAAATGAGATATGCCAATGCTTATACAACTGAGATATGCCAATGCTTATACAACTGAGATATGCCAATGCTTATACAACTGCATACCAAATATCATTGACTTACCACTAGTGGTTCCCCTTGAACTGACCTAATCACAAACTAATACATGTAAACTAAGCAAAGTTTTAAAGTCAATAGACCATGACTGAGGGGGCGGAGCCAAATAATTTCCATGGAAATGAGATGTGCCAGTGCTAATACAACTGCATACCAAATATCATTGACCAACCACTAGTTCACCTTAAACTAGACCTAATCACAAACTAATACATTGTTGAAGCTGCCGCCGCCGGAAACAGCATACCTATGTCTGGCTTTTTGACTCTGTCAAGGCGAGACAATAATTGATTTTTATTTTGTTGACTTAACACTCAGTGACAAATAGATTGTGCATATTCAGGATGATGTGAACAATCATACAAAGTATCACCCTTTAACTGCATGGAGCACTCATGATAATGACTGAACAAAATTTGTTCACATGCTAAATTGATTACCTTGACCTTCATGCTAATGTGCTAGACATCACAATCTTATTAAATAAAAAAAACTTAACATCACTGTAAAGCTCCAAATAGTACACAAGATATGACCTGGCAGAATTTATAAACAGGAACCTAGGGTCTGAATTTCTGAAACATTATGCTTAGTTAAAGACCTTGATATCTTTAAGCTGCAATTTCAAATCTTTTTCATGACAAATATTCTGGAGTGGGGAACAAACTAGATATCATTAAGAAACTACATGAAGTATTCAAGATAGAGAGTTACATGATTTGAAACATGCATGTAGCTATAGTCTGCACTCTGTTGCATTAAAATAAGTTCCAACATTGTTTGCAACAAATCTGCTAGAAGTTGTGAAAAAAAAACCATACAAAGTAGCTACTATTCCATCAAGGGGCACTTGCTGCAATATACTGTAAATTCAGAAATTATTGCGAGGTTTATATGATTGTGACTAATGGGAATGGGTGAGTATCCCAATAATAAGAACTCGCATTCTGATATCTGATACATATATCTGTATGCAGATTTTCTTGAAATCGCAATAATTAAGCTCGCATTTTTGTCTATTCTTCAATAATCGAAATAATAAATGCACGCAATAATTTCTGAATTTACAGTAGCCTTTTGTGCTTATTTGCCATAAATCAAACACTAATAAATCAATCCAAGGGGGACATTTTTTAAAGGAGAAGCTAGGATCTGCAATGTTAAATTAGTTTGTGACTTTGACTCTCAAGCTAGAAATCCAAACCTCATTAGTGGTGCACCTTTAAGTGACAGTCAACAATCATACAAAGTACCAACAATTTAACCCAAAATTTTACAACTAGTTATACATTTGTACCACAGTTTTACCTTTTGGGGAAATTGTAACATAGGATTTGATAGAAACATATGCTTTGCTTGTCCCCAGGTTCCATCCAACAGTACCAAGTTATATGACACTCCATCTCCTACGGGTGGAAGTTCAGATATATCAACAGCCCCAGGGCCTGGAAATAGTAGTAAGGTGTTGGGTTGTCTCATAAGCTCTAAAAGTCCTGGATATCTACAAAAACAAATATGTCATTTACAATATCATCAGCTGAGAAGTACTGGATATCTACAAGTACACAAATATTTATATTTGATTACAATATTCAGCTCAAAATCTCCCAGTTTCTACAGAAACATATATGTCATTAACTATACTGCAGCATCAGCTAAAATATAAACAATTCACCAAAGTTTCATGAGAATTGCTGACAGCATTTTTGAGTTATTGTCTGAAAACTGGAAAATCCCCCCTTTTTTAATGAATAAAACCCCATAACTCAGAAATGTAAAATGTAAAATTTATAAAATTCTAAATGGAGCTTACATCAATAGATATAAACAATTCACCAAAGTTTCATAAGAACTGCTGAAAGCATTTTTGATTTTTTGTCCGAAAACTGGAAAATCACCCTTTTTTTATGAATAAAACCCTGTAACTCGGAAACGTAAAATCTAAAATATATAAAAATCTAAAGGGAGCTCATGTCAATAGATATAAACAATTCACCACAATTTCTTGCAAGTTGGTGAAAGCATTCTTGAGTTATTGTCCGAAAACTGGAAAATCCCCCTTTTTTTAATGAATAAAACCCCATAACTCGGAAACGTAAAATCTAAAATTTATAAAAAACGAAAGGGAGCTCACGTCAATAGATATAAACAATTCACCAAAGTTTTATGCAAATTGGTTAAAGCATTTTTGAGTTAATGTCCGACATGTTGACGACGGACAGACGGACAGACAGACGGACAACGGTATACCATAATACATCCCGTAAACGGGTGTATAAAAATCAATATAATGAAAACTACATCAAATCTTGCAAGTTTTATTCGAGTATGTTTAAAATCCCTAGAATAGTGTGGTGATTTCGATATAAAATTTACCTGTGTTCTGGGAATTTTTTTGATCTGTAAACATGACACTTTCCTGGTGATAGACTCTGATTTAACATTGGAGCAGTTTTTAAATTTCTTGATTCCTGGAATAAATGTTATAATAACTCTTACAACCTGAATTGAATGAGAGAATATATGGGGGTAATAATTAACAATGCAAAAACAAACTGAAAATCTAAAGTTTACAAAAAAAAAAAAATATGACAGAAAACACTTACTCCAATAACCATAAAAGTCACAAATATTTCTATATAACTTATATCCATTTTATTTGAACTCTGTTGGTGCTTGTGATATTTGCAATCATACCACATTTCATTATTTTTTACAAAAAATACTGAATTTTGAATTTTTTTATATAACCATTACATGTTATAGAATAAAAACAGACTTAAGCTGCTCACCTCTGAAATTGGAGATTTGGAGGAAAATTGCCCCTAAGTAAGGATCAGAATGTTAATTGATTAGTACCATTTGTGTCATAAAAGTAATTAAAAGTTTACCAGATGTAACATCATATGCCGACTCATCAGCAGAAATAATAGAATAGAATATAGAATAGAATATTTATTATTTATTATTCCAATCAAGGGCCCTTGATGGGCAGCATAACATGTACACATAAAACAATACATCATGATTTGTAACAGAAAAACATTTTTATATATTAAAATGAAACATTAAAAAGTTCAGACAGATGTTATTATCTTCATTCTATAAAAATCACATACATTTAATTCCAGGCAGGATCAGAACTATAAAATCATTACAATTATCATTGTTATTACATACATTAATTAACATTTCGTCTAACATCTAGACATGTAATAATATAGCTCCCTAAATTTTTAAGTATAGACAAATTTTCATTAGTAAATAACCAAACAAATTTTGCCTCATTTGAAAGATATATAACATTGGGACTGATACAGTTTATCTCCTTGAAAAATATCTCCCTATCATTATTGTATGCTGGACAACTAGTAATAAAATGTTGTTCATCTTCAACCAGATTTAGAGTACAAACTAAATAATAATTCATAACAAATAAAAACTTTTGGCACATGATAAAAAAAAACAAGAGTGCACACGCTGAAATGTCTCGCCTTCTTTACTAATCATTGATATTATGTTGATAGTCCTAAATATAAAGCTTTATTACAACTGTCACATAAACTTAACATTAACCAAGTAAACTAAACATTGACCAATGAACCATGAAAATGAGGTCAAGGTCAGATGAACCATGCTAGGCAGGCATGTACAGCTAACAATTCTTCCATACAACAAATATAGTTGACCTATTGCCTATAGTTTAAGAAAAACAGACGAGAACACAAAAACTTAACACTGAGCAATGAACCTTGAAAATGAGGTCAAGGTCAAATAAAACCTGCGTGACTGACATATAGATCATAAAATATTTCCATACACCAAATATAGTTGAACTATTGCATATAGTATTAGAAAAAAAGACCAAAACTCAAAAACTTAACTTTGACCACTGAACCATGAAAATGAGGTCAAGGTAAGATGACACCTGCCAGCTAGACATGTACACCTTACAATCATTCCATACACCAAATATAGCTGACCTATTGCATGCAGTATTAGAAAGAAAGACCAAAACTCAAAAACTTAACTTTGACCACTGAACCATGAAAATGAGGTCAAGGTCAGATGACACCTGCCAGCTAGACATGTACACCTTACAATCATTCCATACACCAAATATAGTAGACCTATTGCATACAGTATAAGAAAAACAGACCAAAACACAAAAACTTAACTATAACCACTGAACCATGAAAATGAGGTCAATGTCAGATGACACCTGCCAGTTGGACATGTACACCTTACAGTCCTTCCATACACCGAATATACTAGACCTATTGCTTATAGTATCTGAGATATGGACTTGACCACGAAAACTTAACCTTGTTCACTGATCCATGAAATGAGGTCGAGGTCAAGTGAAAACTGTCTGACGGGCATGAGGACCTTGCAAGGTACGCACATACCAAATATAGTTATCCTATTACTTATAATAATTGAGAGAATTTAACATTACAAAAAATCTGAACTTTTTTTTCAAGTAGTCACTGAACCATGAAAATGAGGTCAAGGACATTGGACATGTGACTGACGGAAACTTCGTAACATGAGGCATCCATATACAAAGTATGAAGCATCCAGGTCTTCCATCTTCTAAAATATAAAGCTTTTAAGAAGTTAGCTAACGCCGCCGCCGCCGCCGTAGCCGCCGCCGCCGGATCGCTATCCCTATGTCGAGCTTTCTGCGACAAAAGTCGCAGGCTCGACAAAAACTATTAACATCATTTTTGTTTATTTAAAAAAAAGGTTTTTGAAGTGTATTATGATTGAAAATATATAAATTCAAAGACAAAATAAGAGTTGAAATTACATCTGCTCATGCAATTTTTCTTGAATATACCTAAATTATATTATGAAGTCAAAAAACTTCAAACATCTTTATTAAATAGTATACACAATAGTATACTGTTCAACATCACTTTTTTTGTGTCAGATGAGTTTTAAATCATAGTTAAACAGGGTGACTGCTGGTAACTAAAAGTGATAACTCTCTGATTGCGGGCCCAGTTATATTACATGTATATCACCAGCATGCACCTCAAAAAGTTATTAATAGCTAAATCACCTTATGTGTATTGTATATTGGTAGATTTATATACAGTAAGTGTATCAAGAGAAGGCATTGTATTATGAATGCATGAAGTTATGAGACAAGAGTGCACACGCTGAAATGTCTCGCCTTCTTTACTAATCATTGATATTATGTTGATAGTCCTAAATATAAAGCTTTATTACAACTGTCACATAAACTTAACATTAACCAAGTAAACTAAACATTGACCAATGAACCATGAAAATGAGGTCAAGGTCAGATGAACCATGCTAGGCAGGCATGTACAGCTAACAATTCTTCCATACAACAAATATAGTTGACCTATTGCTTATAGTTTAAGAAAAACAGACGAAAACACAAAAACTTAACACTGAGCAATGAACCTTGAAAATGAGGTCAAGGTCAAATAAAACCTGCGTGACTGACATATAGATCATAAAATATTTCCATACACCAAATATAGTTGAACTATTGCATATAGTATTAGAAAAAAAGACCAAAACTCAAAAACTTAACTTTGACCACTGAACCATGAAAATGAGGTCAAGGTAAGATGACACCTGCCAGCTAGACATGTACACCTTACAATCATTCCATACACCAAATATAGCTGACCTATTGCATGCAGTATTAGAAAGAAAGACCAAAACTCAAAAACTTAACTTTGACCACTGAACCATGAAAATGAGGTCAAGGTCAGATGACACCTGCCAGCTAGACATGTACACCTTACAATCATTCCATACACCAAATATAGTAGACCTATTGCATACAGTATAAGAAAAACAGACCAAAACACAAAAACTTAACTATAACCACTGAACCATGAAAATGAGGTCAAGGTCAGATGACACCTGCCAGTTGGACATGTACACCTTACAGTCCTTCCATACACCGAATATACTAGACCTATTGCTTATAGTATCTGAGATATGGACTTGACCACGAAAACTTAACCTTGTTCACTGATCCATGAAATGAGGTCGAGGTCAAGTGAAAACTGTCTGACGGGCATGAGGACCTTGCAAGGTACGCACATACCAAATACAGTTATCCTATTACTTATAATAAGAGAGAATTTAACATTACAAAAAATCTGAACTTTTTTTTCAAGTAGTCACTGAACCATGAAAATGAGGTCAAGGACATTGGACATGTGACTGACGGAAACTTCGTAACATGAGGCATCCATATACAAAGTATGAAGCATCCAGGTCTTCCATCTTCTAAAATATAAAGCTTTTAAGAAGTTAGCTAACGCCGCCGCCGCCGCCGTAGCCGCCGCCGCCGGATCGCTATCCCTATGTCGAGCTTTCTGCGACAAAAGTCGCAGGCTCGACAAAAAAACAACCTGGTTTGAAGTTTTTTACTGTTTCCATTCTTTTAAATTAACATTTTTGTTTAATTAAGCATATTTAGTTATCTAGAATTTTGAAATCATTCACATCTTTAAAATTTACCTCAAATGGGTGTTGTAAAATAAATACTGTTGTTGTTATTTGTATAGGTTCTGATGGTAAAAAGGGACACCAACAAACTGTAACTGGTCTCCTGAAATGAGAATTTTAAAATTTGATAAATCATAAAAATACTGGATCTTTATATATTTTAATTTTTCATTGCTTTCATTTCCCCAAAAAACTGTTGCATTTTTTTGTTTCTGGCAATATTCATAAATTAGGCATTTATATGATCTCTATTCCAAAACATCATAAAGTCTTGGAAGGCCTTTTAAACTTTTGCTTTGACACCTACCAGCGTCAATGAGGGATCCTCATCTATAAAATTACCCTCTGCAGACATATTGATTATCAGGACTGTCAGACCTCCATATAAGAATGGTCAAACATTTGCACAAGTATATAATGAATCCCCCTAATCTATTTCAATATATTTTTCTTTTCCGTGCATTTTCAAGTTTTATGTATTTGTATTGTCTATGTCCTCCCCTCCTTTAACTTTTGTGCAGAAGCAGTTTTAGTTTACATTCTAATATGAATCTCTCTGTCAGAACTAAAAAATATCTAGTAACTGTATGTATGTATAGGTAGATTCCTCCATTATTAGGAGCACCCCTGGAGAGCTGCGAGGGTACAGTGGAATCCATGTACACTCCCAAATGGGATTAATCGAGATGTGTCATTTATGTATTTACAACAATGTTTACAAGAACAATCCCCACCTCAACACAAAGGGGGTGCTAGGACACTGGGAAGTCTGTTATTATGGTGGAGGAAGCCAAAGTACTTGAAGAGAACCACCAGGCTCCTTAACGGGAACAGACAAACTGAAGAGATATCAGCAGATTGATCTCCTGGTCAAAGTCAGTGGCAACTTTGACCTACTGAGGCACCCAAAGTACCCATTCTAGTTTAAAATCTGGACTGGTTAGTGGGTACCAGAAATGCGTGTGGGAGGGTGAAAATCACCCTTCTGATGTACTGAATTTTCCAGTGCCCTGAGTGAAAATCGAACCCAGGACCTTCAGCACTGCGGCCATCGTTCTTCAACCATTCGACCATGAACCCACACATAACTTTATACATAATATCGATTTTTGATTACTTCAAAATAAAACCAGATCTCTTTTAACAATTTTTCAGGGCAGGGTTCATGAATATCAATGGGTGGCTTTTGTAGTCTATCGGAATCACAACTGTTTTTTGAAATACATGGGTAGGTTCTATAGTTTACAAACACATTATGAATACTACTTCATTCACATATTCATCTACATGTATGCAGTAATAAGTAAATCAAATAAAAATCATTCTCTTATAATTGAGACTCAGATTAAATATCCTTAACCTTTACCTGGGACTATTATACTAAATATTTTAGTCCCAGACCTTTACCCATTAAATTTAAAGTTGTCGCAAAAATGCCAGTTTACATGCACATTTACAAGTATGCCAAAATTTCATTTATTCTTTTATAGTTATCCTCAACAGGTCAGGAATAACCCTTAATTGGTGGATTATACCTCAATTCAGGTATAATCCACCATTTGACATATAGTGAGATAGACCAATTGAGGTATAATGCAGTTTATATCAAAACATTTTTTAAAGAGATATTCGAGCATCTTTTTGCATATACCATCTCAAGCTTTGCTGCTTTGATGAGTTCTCATTGATGACATGTAATTGCTTCTAACTCCTTTAGTTGCGTTCTGTGAAAGTGTGGATTATACATCATTTGAGGTATAATCCACTAATTGATGGATATCATCACGACTGGTTTCCAAGTCTGCATCAGTTCCAACTTTAGATTTGTTAGTCGAAATGGACAGGATGAGTCTACAGAACAAAAAATAACATTTGATAGATGAAAATTCAGAATTTATAAAGAGGAAAAGGAGGATCATATTAGTTTTGGGGTTTCTCTGACACAATGCAGCACAAAGTGTCAGAATCAATTACATGTCTTCACTATGTGGTCATCAAAGCTAGGTACGGTAAATGCAAAAAGATGCTCCAATATCTCTTAAAAATTTATTTGGATAAAAACTGCATTATACCTCAATTGGTGTATCTCATCATATGTCAAATGATGGATTATACCTGAATTGAGGTATAATCCACCAATTAATGGTTATTCCTGACCTGCTCAAGCAAATTAAATGCTAGAACATGTAGAAGTTCTATTCCTGTACTTGGAGTCAAAAAGAAATGGCATCTACAACATCAAATATCCAGTTAAAGTTTCATTCTAAATAAAGGACGATGGGAGGATTGATTAATTGTTGGTTGCTTAACGTCCATTGTCAAATATTTCACACATTTCCGGACGAGTGAGTGGAAGTGTGATCTTGGAGATCATATATTTCTACCTGCATCTGGAACAAACATCTCGCTTGTTTATTTTTGGCTTTTCTAAGTTGTCTGCCAATTCAAAAAGAGATTCTATAAAGTTTTCTTCTTCCATCGCAAAGTTTATATCTGTTATCTCATTTTCGCTGTTACGTTGGGGAGAAGGGTACTTTTAAGAATAGGGAGTGAAACATAAGTTGCGTTTGCCATTCCGATATCACAAAGAACCAAAAAGAACCTTGACTCTAATTGTATGTATACATCGTAGTAATCAAAACTGGCTTTAGGGAACGATCATTTGATATTATGGGGGAGGGGAGGAGGATTTGCGGAATGATAATTGTTTTCACTTTTATACACATTTGTTTCCTGTATTTCGTGTAGCAGAATATTCATTTTCATCCGATTTAGTCGGTGCAAAGTTATTTATTTTCAGTTTTTATCAGGCTAATTTATTCATTTTCAAATCCTCCTCCCCAAGAAAATCAAGTGGTCGCCCCCTTAATAGTATCAACGGGTGAAGGCGCCGTCGATTTATTGACGGTTCACTGGAGTAGATTTAAAGCTCTCTGCGCTTGTTGCGCCAATTACAATATGGTTCCAATCCAGTCTATTGTTGTCGGGACACAAAATGAGTTTGAAATTTATTGTGTTCTACTGGTGGCTCAGAGACTGTTGGGAATATTTAAACACCTAGTCACGATTGTTCCTCACATGTTTTTCGACTATGTTTGATGATTGAAAGAATATTAAAGTTTTTAGCTGTGATGGTTCTTCATGGTTTTAAATACTAAATAATCGTCATCTGGATCAATAGCATGAACCAGCCTCCTGTTGAACTTACTTTAAATAAAGCTAATACTAACAATGACCACTGTCCTTTCCTCGATCTTGATATCTATATCATTAACGGGAAGCTTATTTAATACAAAAATTTATGATAAAAGAGATGATTTTTCATTTCCTATCGTTAATTATCCATTTTTAGATGGTGACGTTCCCTTGTCACCATCTTATGGTGTTTATATATCTCAACTTGTACGATTCGCTCGTGTATGTAACAACGTATTAGATTTTTGCGATAGAAATTTATGTATTACTGAAAAATTATTACACCAGGGTTTTCGATATCATAAACTAGTCAAAACATTTACAAAATTTTATCATCGGTATAAGGTAACACAATACAAATATTTCATACCTCCAACTCCCCAGTTTTAAAATGCTGTAACTTTCTTTATAATGCTTGAAAATTTATAAAAGTGGTATTTATGGATAGCTAACAGATTACTCTTTCAAATTAATGCAATGTTAGTATTATACAACAATTATGTAATTAATTATAATTTTAACTGTGTCTACAAAATTTTACAAGAAATTTCCACTTTCAATTGAAATTAGCTTCTTCATGGATACCCCGAGAGGGTTGATTTTATAATATGTTGTTCCTAGAGCCATTATCTACAAAAGGGTGTCTCAGATTTTGGATAGAATGTATATATATAGATCAAATTTTACACCTAATCAAATAATCTCTACTTTTATGTGGTAAGGATGTTTACACTAATTACAGATTTATGAGAGAATGGAAAACGATAGCGATAATTTGAGATACCCTTTTGTAGCTCCTGCTGTGTTGATTTTAAAAGATAACGTTCTAATTTCTTGTGTAGTTATAGAGATGTCAGAGCTAAATTCATTCAAGTGAACTGACCAAGATTTGCCATTAATTGCATAATAATTGATTACATAATGATTACATAACAAAAATATTGCATTCATTTAAAAGATTAATCTTTTATCTATCTATATATACCTCTTTTATTAATTTGTATGCAGTCATAAGAAAGTAACGATCATTTTAAAGGTTGGAGATTGGAAGTAAAAAATCTTTGTATTGTGCTACCTTAAGGACATCATTCGTAAATATAACTCAACATGCAGACATCTTATACGTTCGGGTATTTCACATCCAATCTTTTATGGTAATATTCTTTACAAAGCACAAAAATGTCAGTATTCACCTCAAAAGCTAACAAAACCTTTAAACAGACTTATTAAGAAGGGATATAGTTACGATACTGTTGTCAGGTCATTAAAGATTGCATATTTTGGCTTTAATATTGATTCACTTATAGGGTCTTTGCATCGGAATTAAACATATTTATTCTAAAACCAGTTGTTGGCATGACACGGGTTATGTTCTTCTCATATATTTTATGATGGTATAATACTAAACCCCTAACAGGAGGGATTGTGCCTGATATTCATATGTTGAAGACATAATCTTTCAATCAGTTTAATTGAGGTCTGGAGCTAGCATGTCAGTAACTGCTAGTAGTCTGTTGTTATTTATGTATTATTAATTGTCATTTGTTTTATTTTCTTTTGTTTCCTATTCTGACATCGGACTCGGACTTCTCTTATACTGAGTTTTACTGTGCGCACTGTTGTGCGTTTGTTTTTTCTGCATTGGCTAGAGGTATAGGGGGAGGGTTGAGATTTCAAAAAACATGTTCAACCCCGCCGCATTTTTGCGCCTGTCCCAAGTCAGGAGCCTCTGGCCTTTGTTAGTCTTGTATCATTTTTAATTTTAGTTTCCTGTGTATAATTTGGAGTTTAGTATGACGTCCATTATCACTGAACTAGTATACATATTTGTTTAGGGGCCAGCTGAAGGACGTCTCCGGGTGCGGGTGTTTCTCGCTGCATTGAAGACTTATTGGTGGCCTTCAGCTGTTGTCTACTCTGTGGTCGGGTTGTTGTCTCTTTGACACATTCCCCATTTCCATTCTCAATTTTATTCAACCACCTTGTAAAAACATATAAGCTCGTACGTCTATGTTGTAGCTCTTGCAGTTCTAGTTTGACAAACTTGTTTTTTAGGCATCCATCTTCCCTTGTTTTTAAATCGCCTGTTGTGAACCTTGCTGCTTGTCGTTTGGCTTGTTGGTATCTGCTATACTGTAGGACCACATACTTTGACTGCATATTCTATCGTTGATCGTACTAGTGAAATGTTTGCCGTTTTCTTACATTCCTATGGGCAGTACCATAGTTTCCTTCCGAGAAAACCTTGGGTTGAATTAGCCGTAATTGCTACATTTTTTTATACGATGTATGTTCCACACCAGATTTTCTTATATTTGCATTCCTAGGTTGGTCTGAACTTATTGGAGTATGTAACCATTGGACGTATAAAATTTCTGATTTTTAATTTAAATGCTCAGGATATAGCATTTTTGTTTGTTTGCATCAAGTTGCATTCCCCAGTTGTTTACCTAAACATCCAAGTTTGCTAGCCTCTTCTTGCAGTCTTCTGTGGGCTTTTTTTTTATATATTCAAGGAAGTTCCAAGTGGTGAAGTTGAAATCATCACTGCGTAAATTTTACGGACGCCATCACAAATTGGGTGACTCCGAATGTGACCTACCGAATTAGAGTTATTACCGGGTTTGAACTAACATGAGCAACACGACGGGTGCCACATGTGGAGCAGGATCTGTTTACCCTTCCGGAGCACCTGAGATCACCCCCAGTTTTTGGTGGGGTTCGTGTTGCTCAGTCTTTAGTTTTCTATGTTGTGTTTTCTTTACTGTTGTTTGTCTGTTTGTCTTTTTCTTTTTTTAGCCATGTTGTTGTCAGTTTATTTTCTATTTATGAGTTTGAATGTCACTTTGGTATCTTTCGCCTTTCTTTTAATGGTTCTGTACACTCAACAGTCATTAGTGAACAGCCGTATTTGATATTTGACGGTGTCTGGGAGCTCACTCATCTGACACAAAAAGAGTAACGGTTCAAATACTCTTCCTAATGAGACTCCTGGGTCCACTTTCACTTCTTCGGAGCTTTCTCCCCCTTCACAACCCTCGTCTTTCTCATTGTCAGGAACATATTAACCAGTTGCTTATTTTATTTCTAATTTCGTATTCCGGCCCATTTTTATATTAGTTTATTATGCGGTACAGTGTCAAAAGCTTTGGAAAAATCATGGATTGGAATGTCAGTTGATAGACCGTCCTCGAATGCGCTCATAAAGTCATGTAAGGTGACTGGCAAATGTGTGTTTCGCAAGAATAGCCAGATCTGAATCCATGGTTGAGCGATGTAATACTTTATGCTTTTCAAGATGTTTTAAAATGTGCCGGCATATAATGTGTTCTAGTAGTTTGAAAGATACCGACGTCAGTGAAACTTGTCTCTTATTTTCAGCTGCCTGTTTGTATCCCTTTTTGAATAAACAAGAAATGTTTGCATTGAGCCATTCTTCTAGTAGTATTCCAGTGTCTATTGATGTTTGAAAGATAGTACTTAGACCTGGTGATATTTCTGTAGCAAATTCTTTCCGTATTCTGTTTGGTTCAGATTGTTTAGATGGCTTTACATCTTTTAGTAGTTTTTCCAGTCCGTTTGTTGTTATGCTTAGATCAGGTATAATAGAATATTTGATGTATTTTGTTGTTTTGGATATTGATGTTGATTGGTCAATTGTGAAGACGGATCTAAGTTGTTGAATACAATGTGTATTCTGCCTTCCTGACTTGCCTTTTATCTCCTTTTTGGAACTGCCAATATTGTGTCCACTTTTAAGTACGTTTAGCTTGTCAGTATAGACTTATTGTTTCTTTTTGAACAGCTTCCTTATTTTGTAGCTTATCCAGGGTAGGTACTTTGGGCGAATTTCTTTAGATGATCACTAGAGCTTGTATTTATGTAGTTTATTGAATATCGACTTTAAATAAAACTTTGAATTTCAATTGAATTTTGATTAAAAAAAAAGATGGTATGTGTTTGTCCATGCTTTGAAAACAGTTCTTTCTTGAAGGTGTCACTCATTTCTTGTACATTTATTCCTTTGTCCTGCATTTTTCTGATTTTCGTTGATGTTATTGTAATTTCTTTTTTATGTTGTTCTAATTCGCCTTTGGGTACATATAACATTTCATGGGTTTGCTACATTGTTAGTATGGCTTAGTGTCGCAGTCTGTAACTATCATTTCATTATGTGATATGCCAAGTGTGCTTTTGGATGATTTTGACAGGGTTGTTGCTAACACTATGTCAATGAGGTTGTTATCCCTTGTTGGTGATTCACGAATTTGAGTGAGTTAGAAGGGTGGAGTTATTTCTAAGAGTTTAGTTTGGATCACCATGACACTTGAGTTGTTTGGTACTGCCATTGATTCCCAGTTTAT